CTCAATATCCAAAAGCCAGACTAACTGCTTGTGTCTTGTTTTAACTTTCCCCAGCCTTGTGAATGCCCAGCTGCCTTGGATATAGGTAAGGTGCTGGTGGATGGTGGGAATGCTCCTGCACATGGGTGATGCGGTGATGCAGTAACCTGACAGTGGAGGGGGAGAGATACTTCAATCCTCATCATTCAGCTTTGGATGCTGCTGTAGCCTCTTTCTGTGACTCCAGAGGTGACACACACTGTGTTTGGGAGGGTGGCAAATGCCCTTGGAGGCACAAATCTTGTGCCCTATGGAAAAGCTGAGTAAAGACAACACAGATGTCCCTAACAGGGCAGCTCTGTGTGCACCAGCGCTGGAGCAGTGAGATGTGCTGCCTGGTGGCTCCACCAGGCACATCTGAATTGCAAAGTAGCTTGGGCTGAGCCCCTGTCAGCTGGAAAGCATTTAGGGAGAGCACAAAACCAGCTTAGAGAGTGCAGTCAGTGCTGGATGTCATCTGGAAAAGAGGTGGAGACAGGGCTAGAACATACAACAGCAACAGCTCAGGTGCTGCAGCTGCTCAGACACTTTCACCTTGGCCTCCTATTGCTCCCTGCATTTCACCACCACAAAAATAATGCCTTTGGGCACCTTCCTTTCTGCAGACACCAGCCATGTCCTGTCAGTCTGGATGGCTGACACCGTGACAAGGACATCCTCCTGCTGCATCCCAGCTGCTCACACAAATCACAGCCCAGAGTGGGCTGATGGTTGGGAACACACTGCATCAGTCACAAGGGGTGGGGGATCCTTGTCCATCATCCCTGTCCCTGCCTGCTGTCCATCACCTGCTGCCTGCCTCAACCTCAGGCTGGGGTTTAGTGCCACTCTGTCCCTGTCCCAGGCCATCCTGCATCCAAGGGCAGGTTTCCTCCTCCTGCAGAGGGACCCGGGGCATGGGGGTCCCCAGGAGGCAGCCAGTTACCCGAACAAGAGGAACAGGAGATGTGATGAAACTGGGCAGGAGGCTCCAGCCGTGACATGGGGATGGTGAGAGGAGGGGAGGGTTGCTTTCCGAATTCATCACCCTGCCTACCCCAGCGGTGCTGGACCCTGTTCGAACTGAGGGAGCAACTCTGGAAACAGCTTTTCCAGGGCTCCACCATCACTCCTGGTAGGCTCCAACTTCACCCACTCTTGCCTCTTCTGCAGCAGCCCATGAGGAGGTTTTCTACAAGGGCTCTCAGGGGACCTTTTCTCAGCTTTTTCAGCCTCTCTGTAAAGGATGTGATCCCAGCTCTGTGGGCAGCTTTCCCACCTGGAATTCCCCAGTGCTTCACACAGAGGCTCAAGCCACTGCCAGCTGCTGCTCTGACCCCTCAGGGGCACTTCCAAGGAAGCACAGCCTCTTTGATGTGTTGAAATTCATCTCTGAACCCTTGGTCAATATTAGAGATTAGTTTTCCAGTTAATGCTTCCACTGCATCCACAGGCCTGTCCTAAGGGCAGAATCAACACTCACTTTTACTTACATGGCTCTGGACTGGCTGCCTAAAAGTATGCTTCAGCACTCTGTTTATGAAACAAATGGACGAAAGATGTGAAAGAAGACTAACTAAAGGTGCCAACAAATCTGGAGACAGACTTTTGACAAGGGCCTGTAGGGACAGGCCAAGGGGAATGGCTTTAACCTGCCAGAGGGGAGACTGAGATGAGCTCTTAGGCAGAAGCTCTTCCCTGTGAGGGTGCTGAGGCGCTGGCACAGGGTGCCCAGAGAAGCTGTGGCTGCCCCATCCCTGGCAGTGTTCAAGGCCAGGTTGGACACAGGGCCTTGGAGCAAGCTGCTCTAGTGGAAGGGGTCCCTGCCCGTGGCAGGGGTTGGAGCTGGAGGAGCTTTAAGGTCCCTTCCAACACAAACCAGGCTGGGATTCTGTGATTTGTTCTCATTGTTTATAAATTAAATGAAATAAATTTCATTTTATGAATTTTAATTCATAAATTTATGGCTCAGAGGAGACGTTATCACCATGTTCCAGTGTTTAAAAGGTGGCTACAAAGAAGATTGAGACTCCTTTTTTACAACGTGTCACATGGAAAAGACAAGGTGTGAGGGGCACAAGTTACTTCTGGGGAGAGTCCAATCAAACGCAAGAGGAGAATTTTTCCCAATGAGAACAACCAGCCATTGTAATAATCCCTCCAGGAAGTGGTGGACTCCCTAACACTGGACAGAGTGCTGGGACACCTAGACTAGGTCATGCTTGACCTAGAAAGGCTGGACCAGATAATGCTTAAGGTCCCTTCCAACTTGGGATCTGATGAACTTTCTCAGAAGAATTTAGTTTGTTTGGCAGCTCCATGATGACTGGCACAAATTGCAAATTCCCAATGCTTGATTTCCTCATTTGTGAAATTCCATATTATCTTTTCCACCAATGGGACTCCTGCCTTACCCCGAGGCAGCTGAAAATTCCAGCTGGGTTCAGTGCTGCTTCCCTCAGCTCTCTGGGGTTTACACTGACTTACTCTGACCATGGGAGGAGCTACAGGCAGCAGGACTGCACATGAACATTCATCACATTCTCTTGTCCAACTCCCCTGTATCTAAGAAGTACCAGACATGATAAAGAGCAGCATCACGCTAGGGACATGCTAATTGTTAACAGGCAACTGTGTTAAGTTCTTGTGCCAAACCAATGCCAAACTGCATTCCTTACTCTTCCTACAGGGAACTGCAGCTAATCAGGAGGAAAGACCTTTTCTGCTCTGACATGAGCAAGCCAAGAAGTATCTCAAAGCCTGCCTCTTTCCTCCATCTTCTCTGCTAAGTCCCCTGCTGTGGGCAGGTCTTGCTTTTGTTATCCAACTGCCATCATACCCATCAGGGTCCAGGTCTGTATAGTCCACTCCAAAACAATTTCTCCCCAAACAACCTACTGCAAATGCAGCTGGGAGGCAGAGGAGGGGATGAAGTTGAGTATGTGCAGTCCAAGGGTATGAATGCAGCTCCCTTTGGTATGCACCCTTTGATCCTCCAAGGCAGCATCTGGGCCCTCAGGATGGACAGGACCGGACCACATGAGCACAGCAAGGCCCTCACCTCCATGCATGGGGGAGTGGGAGTGACACAATGGCACTGTGAAGGGTGAAGCGTACTGGAAGTCTGTGCTCAGAGCACAGCACGATGGGTGCAGAGCTCCAGGCATCTGTGCTGAGAGCACAGAGCGATGGGTGCAGAGCTCCAGGCAGAGCACTGCAAGAGTTAAGGTGAGGTGGGGCCATTTCCCTTCTGTCACAACCTCCATTGGTTTCATGGCTTTCCCAAGTAATCGTCCGCAGCTTCCTTGAGGGATCCAGGAGCTGGAAGGGTGCTGTGCAGAGCAGAAGCCCCTCGCATGCTGAGCCCCTGCGGCACTGCACAACAGCCATTTTGCTTCTGCAGCTTCTTCCAAGTGCATGTGGGCAACGTGGGACACAGGCGAAGTGGTTTCCATGGCAACCTGCACTTCAGCGGTGCCAGGGAGAAAATTTGTGTTGCGGGGGGTGATAATTCTGCTTCAGCTCACGTTGGCAGCGGCAGCACCCCAGAAATGGCTGGTGTGAAAACACCTCTGGGATGCTTCCCCTGCAGCGCTCGGCCCGCTGTCCTCATGTGCTTGCTGGTGGCACCGGTCCCACAGTGTCAAAGCCACATTCTGTGCTAGCTGAGAGCCCTTGGGTCCCTTTGTTTGGATCTGGGGGCAGCGGGTTCTGGCTGCCTCTCCCCTCTGGCCCTGGAATGGGAGAGACATGGTATGGGAGTGGAACTCAACCCCATTCAGCCATGGAGCAGGACTGTCCTCCAGAGGTTGGCCACTAGCTGTCGTGCCTCCATTCCCTTTGGGAAGGCTAATGGTAACCCAAGAGCAGATAGATAAAGAGAAACCCAAGAAATCTCCTCAGCAGACAAATCTTAGGGTCATATCCAGGAGTTACCTGGTGAATGCAGTGGAGGAAAATGGCTGGTTGCCCTGTGAGCTGCTGTCTGCAGGAACAGTGGCTCTGTGTGGAGGGACAATGTGAAGCCAAGGAACCAGCCTGAGCATCTGCTTAACATCTCTGCCCAAGAGTTGCGTTGGCCAAGGGGGGTTTCTCCAGCACTTAGAGTGAACACAGACCCCTGCCGCATTTATACCACAAGCAGCTCTGGCTCCCCAGCCAGGCCAGGTTGTTCAGAGATGCTGCACAACTGGGACTATTTGCTCTGGAGGACAAATCCTGAAGACCCTGTTCTACGCCAGTCCGGTGTCATTATGTCTGGTGACACTGTGTCAAGTGTGATTATGCCTCCCAGGGCAAGAGAGGCACTCATCCTGGGAATGGGCAGTGAGGGTGGGAAGGATGGAGTACACTCCATTACAAGTGGAAGCTCAGCCCTAGGCAAGCTCTGCCCCCCTGCACCCTAAACCCCTTCCAGGGTGGGAGCCAGACCCCAGACCTGTGTGTCCCTCCAAAACTCGTCAGCAGGGTCCCATGGATCAGTCAGTGTGTTCCAGGAGTCTCTGCCTCAGCGCCGGGGTTAGGAGGTGGTGAGGGGGGTAGTGGTGGTGGGAAGGTCGGAGGGGGGAGGTGGTGAGAGTTGAGGGGGGTAAAATGGGGTAGAGGGTATGGTGGTTGATGGTGCTGGGGGCTGGTGGTGTGTGTGTGGTGATGGTGGTGGCGGAGGTGGGGGGTGGTAATGGGGGGGCTGTGGGGAGGGTACGGTTGGTGATAGCGTGGGGGGGCCGATGGTGTGGGGAAGGTGGTGGTGACGGGGGGTGGTGGCGATGCGGGGGTTTGGGGGTTGGTGGGGAGCGGTAGTGGTGGAGGGGGGGTTGATGGTGATGGGGGGGTGATGTGGGGTGGGGGGGGGTGATGGGGGGGTGAGGGGAGCGGGGGAGGTCCCAGGTTCCTCCAGGCTCCGCCGGAGCCGGGGCGGGCGCTGCGGCAGAGGGGCCGGGGGCGGGCGGGGCGGGGCGGGCGCAGAGCGCGGGCGGTTCAGCACCACGGAGAGCGCCCGGAGGAGCCGCGCCGGGCCGGGCCGGGCCGGGCCCCGCGGCCGCGCTGAGCCGGGCGGGGGGCACCTGAGCCGGGGGGCGCTGGCGAGGGGGGCCCGGTAGGTCCGGGCCGGCCGTGGATGAGCACCATGCGGCTGCTGCTGCTCGCCCTGCTCTTCTCGTCCTCCTTCGCCCGCGCAGGCTGCGACCCCAAGATCGTCAACATCGGCGCGGTGCTGAGCACCAAGAAGCACGAGCAGATCTTCCGCGAGGCGGTGAACCAGGCCAACAAGCGGCACGGCACATGGAAGCTCCAGCTCAACGCCACCTCGGTCACGCACAAGCCCAACGCCATCCAGATGGCCCTTTCCGTCTGCGAGGACCTCATCTCCAGCCAGGTACCCCGGGACGGCGACGCCCCCCTCCACCACCGCCGCCGCCGCCGGGCACCCCCGCCCCATCCCCGGAGCAGAAGCGACCCCGGTTCCCCCCCCCCCGCCCCGGGTTCCTCCCCTTGGCTCCGAGCGGGCAGAGCCGCGGTAAGCGGGGTCCTGCCCCGGGGTGCCGCTGCCCGCATTGCAGCCTTTATGTAAGCGCGGCAGGGCTGCACCTCCCGCAAAGGCACCCACACACACCCCGGGGGGCACAGGGGCACTTACATACACGCCACGGGCACACATAGGCTCAAACATGCCTCCTCGGGGCACACATGGACACTTACACACACCCCGGGGTACACACAGGCTCTCGCAGCCAGAGCACGCATGCAGAAAGCAACAACATGCATGCACACATGCACCGCAGACATGCATGATGCACACAGGGCTGTATGTGCCTGTGTATGTGCTCATGCACACATGAGCATCCACAGACTGTGGGCATGGGGACCTCCACACGTGCACACACGTACATGTCACTGTCAGAATGGCCGTGGGCTGCTCTGCATGTACATGCACATGCCATGTGCACACATGCATTGTGCGTCTACACTCATACCAGTGTGCAAACACCCTGGTGCACACACACTATGGCACATGCAGACATGCGTCCATGTGCACACATGAGCACACACTTCATCAGGTACACACACACGGGCACACAAACACACCCCACTGTGTGCACACACATGTACATGCACACACATGTACCTGCACACCCCCTCCGGGACACATACTCAAATGACTGTGCATCACGGCTGCACACCGCCATCACACACAGCAGCACACAAAGCATGAATTTGGCACACCAGTACACCCAGTGCCACACACACGAGGCACAGGCACACAGACACAGCATGCACACACACGCAGGGAGCTGTGGGCACACACATGATGCATGCTGTGCCTGCATGCCTGCGCACACAAGCACAGCACTCTCCTCCCTCCTGCCTGCATGGGTCATGCTCAGCACCCACAAGGGAGCAATCCGAACCTGCAGTGGTGCTGGGTGCTCTGTGTGCTCTGTGTCCTCTGGGTGCCCTATGGCCTGTCCCCTCTATCCTCCCTGTGTAAGCCCAGCCAACCAACCCCATTCCCCCCACCGGGGGCCATCAGGTGGGCAAACAGGCAGGTACAATCCCCACACACGCATCAAACACACCCATGCACATGCAAAAGGTGTGCATGGATCCATTGCATCGGTACAAACGCAGATTGCATGAACACCCGTGCCACCGAGACACACGCACACCAACATGCACATACGAATACATATATGCACCCAGGCACACACAGCCAGGGAGGGGAACAGAGCCGGAGGGGCATGTTCACAGCTCAGCTTCCCAATATGGGGATGGAGGATGGCTGGAGGTGTCCCTGGGGATGGTGGCAGAGCCAGGCAGGATGCGCAGGGCAGGCTGTAAGAGATACCCACTGCCCAGTGGGGAGCAGGGGGGAGGCAGCAGGCTCAATCCAGTCCCTTGCTGAGCTGAGACCCCATTGAAGCCATCAGGCTGATGGGTGCCTGCGTCCATGCCCCCACTAAGCTGTGGCCCCCTGGAAAACCCCATGGAGCCCAGGCTGGTGCAGGAGCATGAGCAGTGCATGAGCAGTGGATGCGGGAGGCAGCTAACGTAGGGCACAGAGGGGTCTGTGGGTGCTGGGGGTCAGAGTACTGGGGGTGGCCACTCTGTCCCAAACCCAAGGGCTTCTTCCAGCCACCCTCATCCTCACCCACTGGCGCTCTGCCCAAGCAGGAGCTGTGAGGCAGAGGAGGGGCTGGAGCCTGAACATGCAAAATGGCTCCTGTCACCCACTGCTGCGCCCTGAGCTTGCTCCCACCCAACACCAGGCAGAGTCTTCCCCTTCCCACTCTGTCATCAAGTCCCCTGCCCCTGTCCTTCCAAGCCATCCCTCCAGCCAGGGCACAGAGCACATCCTGCGGCTCAGGCAGACGCTTGGAGGGGGAAGGAATGTTATTTCCTCCCAGACATCAAAGTCCTTGCACTGATTCACCCTAGCTGGAGACCTGTCACCAGCTGGGGACATTCCTTGTGCTGTGAAAGGGCATCAGTGTAACAAAGGATCTCCTGGGGGTTACCCATCTCTTTCCTCTCCATTTGACACAAAATAGGATCCTGCTAGGGACCAAAAACCCAGCCCTGTAACAACAGCGAGATCTTGCCCAGATCCTCCTCTCCCATTTGGGTATAACCCAGATCCCATCATGCAGTGTGCTGAGGGCAGATCCCGGCTCCTGCCCCCTCCCCGGCTTCCTCCTGTCTCCTTGTGCCAAGGGCCAGATGGCTGCTCTGCTCCACAGCTCCGCCGGCTCCTGCTCCCAGTCCCAGCTGACCACTTTGTTTGTAATAGTCCTCAGAGGGGAATTACAACCGAGTATTAAATGTGTGGTTAAAGAAATCGCATTACACAGTGTGACTGTAAGGGAAATGCTTCCCTTTAATCTGTAATCCAGGGAAGTTATTAGTTTAGCGAGCGGAGTGGCATTTCCATTAAGATAGAGCCCTGAGCAGACCCATCACCTCCACAGGCCATGGCACTGCACCCCTTGCTCCCCAGATCCTTCCTGACTTCACTGTTCCCGATCATTTGGATTCCATTATCGTGTTAACATGGGGCTGTTTAATGCTGCAGAAAAGGGAAAAATAAGAATAAAAATCACACTTGATGGCCAATGTGCTCCTGTGAAATAATGTTTGTGTCGTGTATCCTGTCCTGCAGGTCTATGCAATATTAGTTAGTCACCCTCCTGCTCCCAACGATCACCTAACACCAACACCCGTATCATACACAGCTGGCTTCTACAGGATCCCTGTCATTGGTCTGACAACACGCATGTCTATATATTCTGATAAGGTAACTGATGCATGTTTCTAGTCTAGTACCTCATACGTGTGGTGTAAACCAAGAGTGCCCATCAAGAGGGTTAATGATGTCTACACTATGCCTATCTCTATGTCTGTCCATCCCTCCTCTCCAGTTAAACCTCCAGTTCCCTCCCTTCCTCTCGCATTCCCTGGTCCACCATTTTTTCACAGCTGGCAGTGCTGACCTACATAGTGCTGGATGATTCCTGCAGCAATGCTCTGCCAGGGTTCGCTGCTCGCCAGCCACGGCAGACGCATGAACCAGCTCCTGCTCTGCAGGGACAGCTGGGGGTCCTGGGTGCTCCCCAGTGCAAGGGGGGATTACAGAAGGGTCCTGGTGGAGCCTGTGCACCAGGCAGGAGCCCTGTGGGGCTTGAAGGCTGTTTGGTTGCGTTTATTTCTCTGGGTTTATGTGACAGTGGTAAGGGAGATTATAGAATTGACTCACAAGTTATCCCGAGGCTTTACACGACATTCAGTCTGGCCAGCACTCAAGAAAGATGTTCACATTCCAGCATCTCAAACCTGTGGAAACATGGAGGCTGTCAGGATGGATGAGGTCCTGCCATGAGCAGGGGCTGGGGCAATGAGGTGCTGCACTGGCCAGACCTTCCATGCCAGGCACTCAGCTCAGAACCCATCCTGCAAACACACTCTGTGATCAGTAGAAGCAGAAGGAGGAGCTGAGCAGAGCCAGGCTGTCCACGTGCCACTGCAGCCTCGGTGGAGGTGCTGCTCCAGGTGCACGAGCTCAGTGGGTGAGATCAGGCTTGTTCTGAAGCATGAATCGGCCTTTGCTTGGAGAATGTGACTGTTCACAAATGCAAATGTTCAGTGCAAAAATAGTCCCTCCGCCTACATGCTGAATGAAGTCAAATTTGAGGAGGGAGGGACAGAGGCTCCCAGAGATGCACCAGCTTGGCTGGAGCAGCAGCAGGTCTTGGCATCTCCCATGCTATAAAACCATGGCAGCAGCAAAAGCAATGGTGGCTGGCAGGGCTGGGGACCTGCATACCCTGGCAGCATCCCACCAGGCACTGGTGGAAGGAAAGGGATGGAAATGGAGCTGGCAGACAAAGGGAGAGGGCAGGCAGTGGGTGAGAAATGGCAGGAGGAGTTTGGTTCATGCTGCTATGGGGAGGGGATAGGTCTGATAGCAATGTCACCAAGAGGGACCTTGTCACAGCACATGTGATGGCAGGGAGAGAGGACCCTGCACAGTTCAGTGTCAGCTCTGCAGGGCCGTGCTTATGAAGTAACAGCAGCCTTTCCCACAGCATGACCTTGTCCTGGATTTGTGTGTTCCCCTGAGGGCTGGGAGCTCCCCTGCCAGACTCACCTTCAGCCCCTATTTAAAACACGCTTTCCACAAAACCCATAAACCCTCCTGGCTCACTTCAGAGCTGGAGGAGTGACCCACTGCGGCAGTGGTGACCCACAGCAGTGCCAGGGAGATGCTCCTCACTGAGTATTTGGGGATGTTGTGCTGTGGGGTGCACTCACCAGGCAGGTCCCACCCTTCTGAGCTCTCCTGCCTGGCTGGCCTCGTGCTAAACCCCTTTACCACCAAGGCAGACAGGGGCTTGAGGACTTTGCCCCATCTCCTGCCTCCTCTCCCTCTCTGCAGAGACCTCAAAGGGACTAGATGGGTAGAGGAGGAAGGATGCTGAAGAGTAGGCTGCTGGGAGCTGGAGGGGACAGTGAAGGCGGGAGTAGAGCAGAGGGCAGCAGAGCAAAGGGGCTGAAGCCATGGGACAGGCTCTGCACACCCCATGCAGGACAGGCTGGTGCAGTGCAGGGACCTTCAGTTGGCTCCCTTTTCAGCTCCCACTGATCAGCTTTTTTTTAATTCAGGAAATTATATCTTTCAGCTTAGTTTCTATGGAAACGTCTGTACAATCACGTTGTGTGTTTGCCCCGGATTGGTTTTAAACACATCAGCCAATTTTAGCTAAATTTCACAGAGGGTTGAAGTCTCAGAGTTAATTATGGTCCCCTCAATGCTATGCTGCCAGGGAGAGGAAGAGCCTGGGCCTCAGCACACACAGGTTTGCCCAGTACCTTCTGATGCTCTCAGAGCATCTCCAGTCCAGCACAGTGGTCCATGAGCTGTAGCCAGTCTTTCAACAAAGATACCTGAGAGAAGCAAGTTTTATTGTACCCAGTATTCAAAGAACTATTTGTCCTAGAAATAGTATTGCAGATATCAGACTGGCTTGGCAGCCTCTGTTTGGCCTCATTATGTACCTACATCTTACGAAATCGTTACCTGTTTCCTCACATCATTCAGCACAGTCCTGCCTGTATAGAGAGGGAGTCTGAAATCCTGGTCACCTCTGAGTGAGGTGAGCAGGGAATTGCAGGACAGGAGAGGGGGAGTCTCATGGTAAAGGCAGCAGTGGTTCCCTCACTGTGGTTCCACCACTATGGAGAGCCCTTCATGGACTGAGCATTGCAAAAATAACAATCATAAAATCCCAGCCTGGTTTGTGTTGGAAGGGACCTTAAAGCTCCTCCAGCTCCAACCCCTGCCACGGGCAGGGACACCTTCCACTAGAGCAGCTTGCTCCAAGCCCCTGTGTCCAACCTGGCCTTGAACACTGCCAGGGATGGGGCAGCCACAGCTTCTCTGGGCAAATGCTGTGCCCTTGAATGGACAGGCTGGACTATTGCTTTAGTGCTTCTGTTCCCCATGTGTCATTGGGGGTATTTATATCTCATTTGCATCTCAGCCAAAAAAAATGAGGTGACATGGACATCTTGACAATATGAGAAATACGAAATGATACTGAAAGCCTTAGAGAAAAGCTGGTGGGGAAATGCACAGCTCAAGAGGAGGTCTGGTGCTGTTCATCACCACCATGTGGTACCACACCTACGTGATGGGGATGAAGGGACATGCTGATGCCCCGTGGTGCTGAGCCCCCATCAGAGAGGCAGAGGCAGCCCAAGGGTGACTCCTAACAGGCCTTCTCTGCCGCTGAAAGAGATGGAATATAGAGTTCAGTTATTCCACACTTGGAAAGCCATTTCAATGTCCAGCACCCAGTCCTGGGAGTTGAAATGAGGTTTGTATCTTTCTCTCTCCAGTCTGGTCCTGGGGGTGGCTTTTCCCTCTGGTTCCTTGTTTCCATATAACCACTCCATGCCTTCAAGAGGTTACTGCTCACTGAGAGGGATATTTTTCTTTATTACTGGTCTCACTGGCCACCAATACTCAGTGGGAACAGTGTTAGTCAGCATGGGAAGCTCCACCAAACTGGGGAGAAGAGTGATTCTCTTCCACCAAGTTCAGGGTCAGGACTTCACTGGCACCTGGGGAAGTGCCTGGAGAGGCTGGTTATCATAACACAGAGATGTTTGCCTTGGGAATGGGTTTACAGCCATCAGCAGGGGTGGCCTGCAGGCATCAGAGCAGATGAGGGGCTCTGTGCGCTGAAGCCTCTGCTGGGTCCCACTCATCCCAGTGGAGGAGAGCTCTTCACAGGCTCTCAGGGTTCCAGCCAGGAGGAGGACAGACCAGCCCCACCACTCCACAGGGCTGTTGCTGTGATGTGGAGCCATTCCCCACAGGCTGGCTGCTCCTCTACTCCATGCCCTGCAGGGAAAGGTGCACACAGAGCATCACGCCTGAGCCCCTCATACATCTGCCCCCACTGAAATCCCTCCCAGCACAGTCTGAGCTATTGCAGAGTTACACAGCTCCCTCCCACGTCCATAGCTATCATGCAGTGGGCTGGCTGCTTTCTGATGGGGCTCAGCCACACGTGTGCTGGCAAATGGGCTGAACAGAGCAGGGGATGGTGCAGCCCAGGCTCCTTCCATGGAGACACTGGCCAAGGCTGCTTCTTCATACCCAGCTGATGACTTCTGCTGAATTATCTGGAGTTTTATATATTGGTATCTCTGTCAATCTCCTTGAAGCTGCCCAGACAGCAGTTTTGGAGTGCATTACTAGAACCAAGGCCCTCAGTGCCATGGGTTAGTGGTGGACTTGGCAGTGCTGGAGTAAAGGTTGGACTTGATGATCTTAAAGGTCTTTTCCAACCTGGTTGATTTTGTGATTCTAAGGGGGACTGACCAGATGATTTCCATAGGTAATAAGCCAAAAGCACATTTTTTTTCTCAAGCCTGTAAGAAAAATTACCAGCCATGGACCACGAGCTGTAATAAGCCCTAAGGAGACAGAGGTAAAGAAGATAGCAATCCTTTCACTCATGGTCCTTATGTGGGCACACATACACTGCCTGGTGGCCCCACAGCCTGCACACTCCCTCTGCATACACACAAACTCCATCAATAGGCACCCACATGTGCACCCTGCCCCAGGTATGGCACGGCCATGTGCAGCTATTCAAGCACCCAAGCACATTCCCTGCATGGGCAAGCGCTCACACATGCTTTCTGCATGTAAGTGCTCATGTTTATGCACACATAGAGTCTTTGCTGTCACATGTGCATACATACACATACACATAATCTGTTCAAACTTAGCTTCTCTTAATAGCTACTCATATCAACCAAGTCAGCACCACTAATAACACGCAGCTCACGAGTCCTGACCCAGCACATGTGCACAGTCTCACAACTACACTCACCCCAGCGCATTTAGGCTCCAGCCCCATGGGTTTCTGCTGAGTTGATTCCACTTCGAAGCCTGGATTTGATCCCAGGATGTATTTACTTACTGTTTGCTGAAGTAGAGTTCAGTGAGGAAGCACAGGGCTGAGCACTCAGGTTTGGGTGGATATAGGAAAATACTGTGGAAAGCTGCTCACGTCCCAGCCCTCCTGGCAGGCAGCAGCCACAAAGAGGAAAGCAAAGGATGTGAATCTGCAAAACATCTTACCAGGGAGCTGTTGATTTGCAAGGAGGAGCATTTTGAATGTGTGCCTGATGTGAGAGGAGCAGGCTACCACCCATGGCAGCTCAGAGGTAGAGCGCTTGTAGCAGTACCAGCAGGGGTGGTGCTGACGGGTGGTGCAGCTGAAGTGAGTGAACGTACTGTGTCAGCTGTCTCACAGAGGCTGTGTTAAAAATTAGGTCTTTAAAAGCAGTTATTTGCCTAAAAATGGTCTAACTATGATGCATAAATCATTGCATCCTCATGCTCTGCAGTACAGCTGCTGTGTCCATGCACTGCAGGGCCAGGAAAGCTCTGGGCTAGGTTTCAGAGGCTTTCACTGTGTATGCTGCAAGAGGGGAAATCAGATCCCACAAAATCTGGGTCCCAGCTGCCCCTGCGCATCACAAGTTGGACTTTCTAACCTTTGGGGGACTCTGCTTTCATATTTCTGGCAGTCTTTGGGCCCTGCGGAGAAGTTCAGCAGCCCCATGTGTTTCAAAAGGGGGGTTCAGGAAGTGAGTGCTCACCATGACATCCACGCTTGGTGCTTGGTATTAGTTATTCTTCATTATCCTGTTTAAAAACCACAAGCCTGTAATCCAGGAGCTGGGACACCATCATAGCAAGTCCATGACCCTTTTGACTCTGCCTCAGAAAGGAAATTTTCCTGAGCTGTTAAATCAAGTGGCTCTCCAACAACTTTGTAATACAATTCATTCACCTGAATCCAGTGGGATGTAGTTACAACACTTAAGAAAGCCATGACCAGATTAAACAGCATTTTTTGCAAGCTAATTGGGAAACTACAAAATAATCCGATGCGAGATTGAAATGCCAAAGATGTTTTCATTTCAAAAAGAGATTGAAATAATTTTCAGTTAGAATTTTGATTTTTTGCCTTTATTTTTCAGGGGTGTTTTTTTTTTAATTATTATTAGCCACTCTGTTCTTTTTTAATACCTTTTCTCTCTTCTGATTTTCCCGTTTTCATTTTCCCTGGATTTTCTTAAATCAATTACAAATGCTCAGGGGTTAAATATTAAAAGTGCTTAACCCCATCTTGTGTGCCCCTGGCCTGGGCTGTGGAGCTGGGCTGGAAACATGCTGACATCTCTGCTGGATCCAAAGAGAGCTTGAGCCCTGTGCTGGTGTGGAGACCATGGCTGTCCTTCCACTGTTTGTCCCCGTGGGGCTTCCTCCCAATCTTGATTAGTGCTGGGCTTGTGGGGTGAGCTGCATTCTTCCTGCTCTTTGTGTAACTGGGAATGTTTGTATCAGTGATATGAAACTGCAGCTCTGAGACGCCTGTTACGGCTCTCCTGATTGTTTCCTCCTTCCATCAAACATCCACAGTTCCTCCAGTCTCTTCAGTGATCAGTGCTGTGGTATTTCTGCTGCTGGCCCCATCAATTCTTTGTTTTGGGCCCAGGCAGAGACCGTGATAGGGGTTTGTGCTATTTTCTATACATTGCGTGGTTTGGTTTGACTTTATCACTGTGTTTAGAGTGAGGAAAAGGCGTTGTTTGGCCTTCCTCTTCCTCCTACATGTGTCCATGGTAGACATACTGCTTTTTCTCTTCCAGCATGAATTACTTTAGCCTATTGAGGACATTTCTGACCCATGCTGGGTCCAGTTTCTGGATGAGCAGGTCTGGAGAAGCCCTGTTTGGTCTAGAAAACCATCTCAGCCTTATAAAAAGAACTATTTTGGTGCTTTCTTTTTGTCCTTTGCTGTTCAGATTCCTGTGTCCTTCCAGCATGTAGCAGGTCTGTCAAGCAGGGCACATGCCGAGCACAAGCGCATTCATTTTCTAATATTTGACTCTAGGGCCTTTTGGAAACACTGCATTTTTTGAAACCTCTCTGTCAGCTACAGCTTTTGGTCCAATTGCTCCCCTAAGAGTGCTGTACTCAATTAGGCTGGCATTGCTGTTGCTCGGTCATCCAACCATAAAGATGTCTTTACCCAAATCAGATAGGTTAGTCAGGGCATGAGTCCAGAGCTGTCTCCTCCTGTGTGCCGCTGCAGTACAGGCTGACCTAGAAACAGCCAAAGAGCCCAATACAAAACTGCTTTTCTGAGCTTCTCTCAGAGAACTGGATGAGCTTTGAGGTCTCTTCCAACACAAACCATTCTATGATTCTATGATTCTGTGAATTCATGCTCTTTCTGATGTCCATTGCTCAGTAACATTTTCAAACAGTCTAAGAGGAAAGGCTATATTTGCACTGAATGTTGCTGACAGTTTGGTGCTGGACAGGCTTTTCTTCATTTACAGACCACAAAGCAAAAACCCCTCTTTCGCCATGCACTGGATTAACCAGAGAGGTGCAAAATCATAACCAGGTTTTGCTTTTCAGCCAGGAGAAAGGAGTGCAGGTCCCAGAGGGTACCTCAAGGTGGGCAGCCCAGAAGTCTACCCAAAATTTCTGCTCAGCCTCTTTGGCCTTGCGATCCCAGCCCTGCCCCTTCAAACCCGTCCATTCCCTGAGACACAACCCAACCAGTCTGTTGAGCTCTTGTTCTTCCTTGCAGAGCATCCACCTCTCCTTTTTGCGCACGGTCCCACCATACTCTCACCAGGCCAACGTCTGGTTTGAGATGATGAGAGTCTTCAACTGGAACCACGTCATTCTGATAGTCAGTGACGACCACGAAGGTCGTGCTGCACAAAAGAAGCTGGAGACGCTCTTGGAGGAGAGAGAGTCCAAGGTCAGTTCCTGAACATTGTCTTGTAGCTTTGTTTAAGCAACAACAACAAAACTAGAAGTCTCGGGCTGTTGTATGTATGTAGATTTCTGTATGTAAAACACCTTTTCTTTCCATTGTAACATGGCTAACATGCTTAAAGCATCAACAGTGTCTGACTAGTACCTGACAGAACTTTGTACTTTATTCATTTCACTTGCTTTGCCATGGTCAAAATCTCCTACATGTAAATCGACTACAAAATGAAGGGAAGGATAACCTGGAGCTCTGCAAATGCCTCGCCCAAGATTCCCACCTAAGGAGAGGACCAGTCGCTCAGCTTAGGGAAGCACCTGCCCCATTAAAGCCACCCAGGGGCCAGGCAGGCCCAGCAGTGCCAAACCAACCCCGAAAAGCAGCTTCTGAATTGGCAAACCGGAGCTCACCTTAGTGGCTTAGGAGGGACCAGGGCGCACGGAGGTGTAATGCACCCTCTCTATAAAGCTGTCGGCTCTGCGGGCTGAGGCCCCTGTTCCCATCTCCATTGAAGCTCATGCCAACCGCTGCTTTCCCGACACCCCATGCTGGTACAAGAGGGCTGTGGCTGGCGGGAGCAGCTTTATCGAGGAGGTGCACTGCACCTGCACTCAGGGCCATGCAGGGCACAGGGAGGGAGGCAGGGGAGGTCCCCGAGCCTGGTAGAAATTCAGGAGGACAACCATAGACCTGCTGCCATTGAGTAGAAGGATCAAGCAAGCATTCAAGACAAGCAGGGAAGGAGAACACAAGGAGCAGTTCATCTGTGGTGCTTCAAAGGCAGGCACCTGCCCAGAAGACAAAGGTGAAGTCCCAGCACAGGGTGAGGTCCCCTTCCTATGGGCAGAGTCTGAGCCCATCTCCAAGCCTCCGGCAGCAGGGAGTCTTGCACCATCTCCACCATTACACTATTCCTCCGTGGATTACAGGCAGGGACCATAACCTGCTCTTCTCCAGCCCCACCAGGAGATACTGGACATGTGATGTGGCTGTGTATGCTTCTTGTGTTTGGAGTTGGCAGTGGAACTGACAGACCAGAGAGAGCAGCATGCCACTGCCCTTCATCACCTGTCATCAAGCACTGGAGGAACAATGGATTCGGGAGTGCTGGCACAACTCACACTGACCAACAGGCTTTTGGTTTTGGTGGTCGTTCAAAAGAAACTTCATCCTTGCAGCACCCTGGGCCATCGTGAGACACTGGTGTGCCACCAGCTGCAGTGGGATCCTCCTGCTTCCAAAGGCAGCTTCCCACTGAGTGGCAGAGGGACACTATTTCTCACCAAAGCCCAGTGTTCCTCACCCAGACAGAGCTGTGGAAAGGTTGTTCCCATTGACAGTCATCCCTGTCCTTGCAGATTTTGATTTCCATGTTCTGTTTTCCTGCAGCTCCTGTGCATCCCTTTCAGCATCCCTGCTCCCTCTCATGCCTCCACTCCCTGCTTGCTCCACACAGCACTCTCAGGCACAGGGTGCCTTTCTTCTTCTGCCTGCCCATCCTACAGGAAACCATTTGAGATCTTGGGCTTGAAAGATGGGGGATGAAGGGTCTGTCCTCTGACCTGCCCCACATTTGCCTTGCTTCTGTAACGTGTCTGGGTGTCTCCTGGCAGCCACTGGGCTACTGCAATTGCCCTGGCCATCCTCCAGCCTGGGGCATGTGCTCTGTGGTGGCAGGTCACCTTGTCTTCCCTTCATGTAGTGCCACCACATCTTGTTTCTTTTTCCTTTGAGGAGTTTGCTCTGGTCAAACTCACTGGTCTGACTGGTCTTGAAGGTGTTTGATACCTGTTGGGGCTTTCCTGCCTTCCTCAGTCTCTTCTGCTGTCTAATTGCTCCTCTGGTCGTTGCTGTGCTGACTTTCTTCATGCCATGAAGCGGTGCCCTGGACCCCTCCCCAGCCTCCACAGGGGCAGCTGGGGCCTCAGGGCAGGAGCAGTCAGGAGACCTGCTCTCCATCTCTTCAAGGCTCTGATCACAGTCCCTGAGCACCTGGGGGATCTGCCATGGGTCAGGGGCTCACCTGCAGTAACTCTCCATCTGGAGCCACTGCTTCATCCCAATACAAGTCTGCTCATTCATCTGGGCAGGCCACCACGCACCAAGCTCAGGCTCAGGAGAGAGTTCCAGATGCTGTGACAATGAGAGTGTTTCCAAGTCAGAGGTGGGAGGTCCCTGGTGTGCTGGCTCTTCTCTGGGACACTGATGCTCATGAAAGCAGTCAGTTTTTGAGTGAGTGCTGGAGAACGTGGTGTAAAGTGAATTTTTAACTTGTGGGTCCCTGTGCGAAACATGGGCTGAGGAACTGGGAAGAGCTGCAGGAAAGAGAGGAGGCATTACTGGTGTAGTTCTGGCAAGAAGGCTAGTGACAGGCAGAGGTGATCAGGTGCCATCAGCTCCAGCCTTGCAGCACCCAAGACTTTGCTTCACTTTGCTGACCACCTTGGGTCGAGGTGCAGGCACATCAAGGTGATTCATAGCTGGAGGCTGCAAGATGGATTGACCAAGTTTCTGGGTAAATCGATGGCCCCTGAGGAAAAGTAACCAGTATCTCATCGCTGCAGAATATTCACTGTGCCCTGCTGCAGCTCCACTCTCCTTGGAGGCAGTTGTTACTCCAGGTATCACTGTGATCTGAGCAGACTCTCAGAAGCCACTGCAGAAATCCTCACTGGATGTCATCAGAATTGAAGGCAGACCTGGGCTCCAAGCAGATTTTGCCTCCTCAGATGCTCTTCCTTGCAAGGACCCAACTCGGAGCAATAAAAACCCTGTCAAGCTGTGTCCAAGGAGAAGAAAGGAAAGATCACACGGCTGCACAGAAAGGAGAGCTGGCAAAATGTCCTGCCAAAGACTGGTCTGAGTGCTCAGGAAGAGGCAAGCAATTTAGTTTGGAAAGCAATTTGCAGACATAAAACCTGGCTGCCTAAGGAGCAACCTGGGAACATGAACCCTTGCATTATGGGGGTGCAAAGGGTCAGGTTCCTGGAAGCGATCAGTTCTCATTGCCATAAGATGCTGTGAAATGGAAATCAGAATAGAGCCATGTCCTGTACATCATACACAGATCAGGGCTGCCCAGCTGGGGTGAGATGAGGCCAAGAAGAGGTCAGACTATGTCCCACCAAAACCTGCCAAGCACTATCCTTCAGGCACAATCATGTTGGTGTTATTGTCATGGTCACAGGAAGATCCACAGAGCACTGTGCATGCTGCTGCAGGGTCAGTGCTCCTGAGGGCAGAGGCTGTTGACCCTCAGCATGCTGCCTGGAGGAGAGGAAACCTCCAGAAGTAGGTTTCGTGCTCCTGGCTCCTTTGGGGCCAAGCAGCAGAAGTGGCTCAGGCAGGAGACAAGGGGAAGAGCAGGGTCCCTGCTCCAGTCCATTTTCTGCAGGGGCAGTGCATGCTGAGCCACCCACCCCCAGTCCAGGTATGATGCTCCAGCCAGCAGCACGGAGACCACCAAGTAGTGACCCCCACTATGTAGGGCCAGGTTATGGGCACTATGGTCTCCAGTAGCTGCCACAGAACTACGAGGTGCCCTTGGCCAGCCATTGCACCAGGTAAAAGCTGCAATGTCATCCCATGATCACCATTGCTTCATATCGCCACGCTTTGAGCCAACATGGGACGTAGACAGCTTTGTCTTTCTCTTTTGGATGGCAACAGAGCTCCAAAAAGCTGCTCCCTCCTTGCAGGGGGTGAGAAGTTCAGCTGAGACACTTCACTTGCTGTGAACTCTCTTAGGGTGATTGTAATGATAAGACCGATGGTAGTGATGCTAATACTCTTAATTGTAACAGTTTGCCTTTATCCAGCACTTTCCGTACACAACATTTTGTCCTTTACTTCCACAGTAATTCCATGGAACCCCCCCACCACTTAGGCCCTTAGAGATGCGTAGATTGTTTCTGAGCTTAAGATAAAAATGTCTTGCTGAAGAATTCCCCAGTCCCACAAGGGAAATGCAACCGCATCGCAACCGCTGTGACACTCAGGCTTGCTCTAACCGGTACGGCTTTGCACCGTGACGCTCCCGTGAGAGCTGAGGCACTCTCTCCTGATAGTGGTTTTTGCGAGCTCCAGCGTTATAGAGACCCTTTAGCAAACAGTGGAGGAGGAGGTGGATGTTGGATTGCTTTACTACACGTCATTTTCAACTGTTTATAATATTCTTCTGTGTCTACATATTTTCTCTGTGCACATTATTCATCAGAGTAAAAAAAGGAACTATGAAAACCTCGACCAACTTTCCTATGACAACAAGCGAGGACCCAAGGTATATATGCATGGAAATGCACGCCGCCCACCAACCTAACTAGCAAATGACAAATAGCCACAGCCACCAGAAAAATAAAATAAAAGAAAAATAAAAGAGAAAGAGAAAAAAAAAAGAAAAGAAAAGAAAGCAAAATAAAAATAAAAAAGATCCGTGACTATGTTTCTTGGTAGCACGTTTTTATGTTGAGATAGCTTGGTTTGGACTTGAGAATGGAAACGTAGCCAGCTGACCCTGGAAGGATTTATTTTTGAAACATGCATGTGAACCAGTAATTAACTTGCAAGTTTTTCTTTTGAATTTTTTTTTTTGGAAAGTTGAATCAACCCCCTTTCCTCCCCAAAGGAAACGGTTCCTTCGTGTAAGTTGCTCACTTCTACTCCCAAAGGTTAACCCTGTGCAATATGGTTTTTTTTTGTGTCATTTCCCATGTTTTTGAAAAACAACACTCGTTTGAGTTTTCAATTGCATTTCAAAGCCTTTTTCTCTTTCCTGTACAATGCACGCCTCTTTTTGGGTCTTGATTGACTTCAGTTTGCATGCACAGTGCAAAAAAAAATGAAACCAAAACCAAAAAGTCAAAACCTTAAAAGAGAAAGAAAGGAAGGAAAGAAAGAAAAGAAAGAAAAGAAAAGGAAAAAAAAAAATAGCTATAACCAACCTTATAGATCAGACTTTTGTGCAGTTTAATGAATTCTCTTGACCCTTTTCTAGATAGCATGGCTCTCACAAGCAGTCCTGGGGCTCCCGCACTAACCAGCTTTGCTCACACCAATCACAGGCTGAGAAAGTGCTTCAGTTTGACCCAGGAACCAAAAATGTGACATCGCTGCTGCTGGAGGCAAAGGAGCTGGAGGCTCGAGTCATCATCCTCTCTGCCAGGTAAGGCAGAGCCACCCCTACCCCTCCCTGCTCTGATGTCCTCACTCTCCCCTTTGCAACGCTGCCCGGCGCTGCAGGCAGTGCAGATGTGACTTGTCATCCTCGAGGAGAGAGTGAAAGAAACCCTACAGAAAGCCCTGTGTTGCAGGTGGGTGCTGGATGCTGCTGGCCAGGGAGGTTGCAATCATGAGCATGGTGGAGATGTCTGGGCTGTTCTGCAAAGTGCTGGCAGTCATAAAGGCAGCAGTAGTTACTGGTCATCCTGATGCACCTTTGAAGGGGAGTCATATTGACCCTGTGCCTGCAGGTGGTGAACAATAAGGAATGGGCCAGACTTGCAGATGCTCAGCAGTGCTGGGTGCTGTGGGATTAGATGAAGTGAAGAGAAAGATTCCCATTGCATCAAGGAATCAGCCATTGCCCAAGAGAAGCGGTTATCAAAGGAGGCTGCCTGGAGGGGATGTGTTTTCCCTGGCACTGCCACCCCATTAGGGTGAATACAGGAGCAAAGGGGCCATCCAGCACCTGAAGCCACATTGCCATTCCCTTCTCGTTGCAGTGAGGATGATGCGGCCATGGTGTACAGATCAGCAGCCATGCTCAATATGACGGGCTCCGGCTACGTGTGGCTGGTGGGGGAACGGGAGATATCAGGCAATGCCCTGCGTTACGCCCCTGACGGTAGGCACCGGCCAGAGGAGCCTGTCCCACTGCCAGCCAGGCCAGGACGAGTGGCACAGCCCTCCCGGGGACCCCTTGGGCTGGGGAACGCGATGCCATGGTGGTCCCAAGTGAGGGGAGGGTCCCACACATTGCTGTCTGCTCCCCTTGCCCACAGCAGTCCAGCATCCTTGGCCACGCTGCCATGCTCGAAACCCAGCTCACTGACCATCACCTGGGGGAAAGGCTTGGGCACAATGGGGATGGAGCACAGCGTGTCCATGTAGCTGTCCCAGTCCCCCTCCTGCAGGCATCCCAGCACTGCTACAGGTACTTCCCCTGCCTAAAGCTCAGGAAACTGCCCAGCTACATCCAAGGGGTCCTCACCCCATAACCATGTGCTTGCTGGTCTCTAAGCCCTGTGCATGAGAGTAACACTGGAGCTGCCAGTGCACCCCTGGGTACTGACTTGCCTCCTCCCCTCTACTTGCGTCAGGAGTGATCGGTTTGCAGCTCATCAATGGGAAGAACGAGTCAGCCCACATCAGTGATGCTGTCGCAGTGGTGGCCCAGGCTGTGCATGACTTGTTTGAGAAGGAGAACATCACAGACCCACCGCGGGGCTGCGTAGGCAACACCAACATCTGGAAGACGGGACCCCTTTTCAAGAGGTATTTGAGAAGGGGTCCTGCTGAAGGGAGCAGAGGACCCGCTGGGGGAGAGCTGGAAAAGGTGGGAGCATGTGGAAAAGATGCAGGAGGGCAACATGGAAGCCTTGTTCAGCGTATACGTCACTAAAGCTTTGGGGCATGTGGCACAGGACTGCTTGGACTCTACTGCATGATTTGATAAGGCTACATCTCTCCTTGGAAAACCAGGACATGGGCTGAAGCATTGGCCCCACTTTGTTCACGCATCATCCTGGTGCCTGGCACCAGTTTGATCCATGGCAAACCCATCCTCTCCTGGGCAACGCTAGGGAGCTGGGATCAGTGTGGGCAAAGACAGCTCTAGAAGGAAGAGATCTGGGGGCCAGCATCTCCTCCAGGCTGGATCTCAATCCTGTAGGCAGAAGAGGGGAGAATGGGGGTTTCTGCAACATCAGGGTAGGGGGATATTGCTGAGACTGGAGCTCAGTGCTGCAGACACGTTTCTTGCTGATCATTTCAGGGCTGAGGCACAGGTCAGCGTGCTGCAAAGCAAAATATGGGTGCAAGAGATCTCCATGCATGGGACAGGCTGCTCTCTGCTGTAGCAAACAGTGGTGTTGTGGTTTTGGGTGATGGGTTCTCAGCAGATCAGAGCATGCGTGTGCTGGATCCTGCTGCCATGGCCAGTGTGATCAGCAGAGGCTGCATGTGCTTCCCAGAGCCCAGTCCTTGTTCTGTGTGGGGTTTCATGCTGCATCACTGCAGGTGCTGGAGTCACAACAACCTCTTCTTCAGGCTGGGTCTGGGTAAAGCAGCAGTTGCTTTTGCAGCATGGCTCCTATGTGAAGGGCTGCAACCTGGCACCAGGGTGTTGCTGTTGGCAGTGGGCCCTCATGCCAGGGGTTGCTGACAGCAGACATCATCGTGGTGTCTGTGGGATGCCCTTTCTGTAAGTCTGGGTTCTGTTGAGCATGGGACCTGCAAAGCCTGAAGATTATTTGAGAAGCTTTTCTGGCATTCGTTGCAGCAACACAATCTTTGGCATGAGTTGTTCAAACCTGTTCTCTGTGGTGCACTGCAAGTGGCTTGGGTAATTCTGTGTGTTCACTATTGTCTTTCCAGGGTTTGGGGACTGGTTCTCCCCTTGGTGGGCTGTGTGCATACCTGGGGCACTACCCAGGCTGAGATGGACTGGTGCCAGACAGAAGTAACAGGAGGGGTGGCATGGGCACAGCTCCCAAGGGACTCCCAGGGGAAGGTGTCTGTGGGCACTGTGGGACAGATCATTCCTTAATGGAATGGGACTGATCTGGTGGAAAACAAGGGGCAGTGACAACAGGTATGTTAGAGCAACATTCAGGAAACTGACTTCATCCACCAGGAGGGAATGGCCACAGGTCTATGAACAGACGATAGGTAGCCCTGACTGGACTCCTATAGCGTAGTGGGCATATGGCAGGCAACTGAAAGACAGCATTTACCTTTCTGATGCCTTCTTAGGTGCCCACACCAGAATTTCTAGGTTGCCCCCACTGTGATTCTCTCCATAGGGTGTTGATGTCCTCCAAGTACTCGGAGGGTGTCACTGGCCGGGTGGAGTTCAATGAGGATGGGGACAGAAAGTTTGCCAACTACAGCATCATGAACCTGCAGAATCGGAAACTGGTCCAAGTTGGGATTTACAATGGCAGCCATGTACGTACAGGCCTGGGCAGGTTGGGTAGGAGGGGTGTGCGCGCTGGGCATCTACCTATGGCCTCACATCTATCTCCTTCCTCTGGGACTGATCACAGGTCTTGACCAATGACAGGAAGATAATCTGGCCAGGGGGAGAAACAGAGAAACCTCAAGGCTATCAGATGTCAACCAAGTTGAAGGTAACAGCAAGTGGCAGTAGGTGTGGAAGGTCTCCTCAGCTCTCTGCATGCAGGGCTGTGAGTTTATCTGCCTCCCAATTCCACTGCCTCTGAAGCTATCACTGGCATTTGCAAACCCAGGGCATCTACTGTCCTGGAGAGGATGTAGCAGAACTCATACAGTGGAGACCTCATAGCAGCCTTCCAGTATCTGAAGGGGGCCTACCAGGATGCCAGAGAGTGACTCTTCATCACGGGCTGTTGCCATAGGACAAGGGATGATGGGTTTAAACTTAAACAGGGGAAGTTCAGGTTAGATATAAGGATGAAATTCTTTACTGTGAGGGTGGTGAGGCACAGGCACAGGGTGCCTGTGGTGAATGCCGCGTCCCTGCTGGTGTTCAAGGCCAGGCTGGACGAGCCTTGAGCGACATGGTCTAATATGAGGTGTTTCTGCCCATGGCAGGGGGTTGGAACTGGATGATCTTCAGTTCCTTTCCAACCCAAACCATTCTATGATCCTATGATTCTAACTTGTAGAAGGTACTGGAGGGCGTCCAGATCTACAGCACAGCTGCCAGCTGGACACAAACGAGATAGGGTGGATTTCAATTGGAAAGAGACAGCTGGGAAGAGGATATGAGAGAGAACAGCAGTGAAGGGATGGAAGGATCAGGTGTTCACCATTCCTCATGTCTTGGGAGCCTGAGAGCACCTGACACAGGTTTGCAGGAAATACAAGAATGGGCTCCTTTGGCTAAGGCACAGTTCAGTTTTGGAGCCGCTCCTACTCGACAGCGCAGAGGCACAAGGAAACAGGTTCCAAAGGTGATTAAACAAACCAGTGGAGCGTGGGAGGGCTGGTGGCTGCAGGGTTGGGTCAGGAAATCCCTGAAGAGCTGATGGCCAGAAGCTGGAGGTCACACAGGGAGGAAGGAGGTCCCTCCACTCTGGCTTTGCTCCTCATGCCTTTCCCTTCAGTGTAGCCTCTTCAGTGACTGGACCCTGGGCAGGCTGGTCTTACCAGTATGACCTTTTATTTGTCCTGCTGTCCAGCATGGGAAATCACACATTCCCACTGGCAAGGAGCCCTTATTCCTGCAAAGGTGGAGCAGATATGTTGGGATGCTGCTTTACTGAAAAGGTCCAGGGCAGGACTGGAATATCTGCATCAGCTTGAGGCAGTGTGACAGTGTCTAGAGCACCATTCAGGGCACTAATCCTGGCTATATGGTGGCTTTCATCTGTCCCCATTAAGGAGAGGGGTGTGAAAGGCCTTGAGGCTGAGGTGAAAGTGCCACACGAGTTGGATGCTGATATGGCTGTTATTGATCCTGGTTGCAGCAAAAGCAAATGTTTCCCATGCCAAAGCCAGGTCCTGCTGCTGGGCCACATGGTTTCATGTGCTGAGATGGCAGCTGAGGAGGGCACCATCGCATTTTTGGCCATGCTTGCATAGAGAGGGCAGCTCAGCTCCCCACCCACGGAAGCATTGCTCTGGAGGAGAACAGAGACAAGCAGGTGTTGTCCTTCACCTTGCAGATCGTGACGATCCACCAAGAGCCCTTTGTGTATGTGAAGCCCACACAAGCAGATGGGACATGCAGGGAGGAATTCACCATCAATGGAGATCCTGTGAAAAAGGTTTTTTGCACTGGACCCAATGAGACCATCCCAGGTAACTCAGTCTGGTGTGAGCACAGTGGCTTTCCCAGCCCACCCAGATGATGCAGGCTCCTCTCCCAAAACAGGGTCCCAGGTTCAATCACACAGGAAGCCCAGAGGATGATGAGGAGAAAGGTGACAACGCATTCAGCCCCCAAACACCCTGTCAGCTCAGTCCCACAGTAGTGCTGCACAGTGACTGGGCACTGGGACCAGGTTTTTGACCCCAACAGATGACTTTCCCATCCTCTCTCTCCTGGGTGGACTCCAGGGCTGGTTTTGGGTATTACATCCCATGTTTCCGTTCATGCTCCAATTCTCTTTGGCTTGACCTCAAGCAGAAGAGAGAACCCAGAGGCACATTAGCACTTAATGCATGGGCACTAACACCACCAGTTTCAAACCATTTTGTTATGGCAAGCCTGTTTCAGTGTTAGGAGCAAGCACCTGGTGGGAGTGGGAGCTTCTTAGCAATGCCAGGCTTGCCCAAGTCCACGTGCACTGCTGTGCCCCATCACTCCCCTGAGTGGCACAGCTTCTCCCCAGCCCTGAGCTGTTTCTTGTGCTGGGTTGAACCAAATGTGTTCATGACAGCACAGCCTCCATGCGCCAAGCCCCTCTGACCCCTGCAGTGGGTCAGTGGCACCAGCTCTCAGACCACCTCACTGGGACACAGCAAAGGAATGAGAACCCGTTGCCCTAGCTTGACAGCACCCATAGGCGATGGAGGGAGTGGGAGATGGTGATCAAGGCAAATGGCCCTGCCCGCACAATGTGATTACATCTTGTAAGAAACCAGAGCCATACAGGTGGCTGCTCTTGCTGGGACAGCCATGGGTCCCTGGCAAAGGGACCTGCCTCCACTCATCACCCCCATTCTCTCCTGCCTACAGGCCGCCCCACAGTGGCACTGTGCTGCTACGGGTTCTGCATCGACTTGCTCATCCGGCTGGCAGGGGTGATGAACTTCACCTACGAGGTTCACCTGGTGGCTGATGGTAAATTTGGTACCCAAGAGCGGGTGAGTTTGCACAGCCTGTGAGATATCTTTGCCTGTATTGTGTGTATTGGAACACCCCCAGTCCCTTCTCCAGAGGAAGGGTGGGAGGGGAATGCAGTGCCATGAGTTTTGGGGTCCTGGCTATGGGGGGCAGGTGCCAGGGCATTGGGATGATCCTGTGTTGGCTCCCTGGCAGGTTAACAACAGCAACAAGAAGGAGTGGAACGGGATGATGGGTGAGCTGCTGAGTGGACAAGCAGACATGATTGTGGCTCCCCTCACCATCAACAACGAGCGAGCACAGTACATTGAGTTCTCCAAGCCCTTCAAGTACCAGGGCCTCACCATTCTTGTGAAGAAGGTATGGGCTGGGATGAGACGTTTTGTAGAACAGGGGAGGTGCCCCTTGCTCCTCAGCTTGCGGACATGTGCATGCTGCACCATGTCCTTGCTCACCCACTGCAGCCCCCTGCCCACCCCAGGGCATGGCTTTTAATCCCACCCTTTGCTGTGGGATTCCAGCCTCAGCTTTCCCATGTGGCAGAGCAAGAGGAGCTCAGAGCAGGGCAGGGCCCTCTGGAGTGCAGTCGGGTGGGCTGGATGCAGGCACGATGGGTTCCAGCGCTGCTCACCTCTCTCCTCTGTGCTAGGAAATCCCCCGCAGCACCTTGGACTCGTTCATGCAGCCTTTCCAGAGCACGCTGTGGCTGCTGGTGGGGCTCTCTGTGCACGTGGTGGCAGTGATGTTGTACCTCTTAGACCGATTCAGGTGAGTGTGCTTTGGGTCACCCAAGGGCTGGAGGGGACAAGGGGGGATGCTCCTGGGAACCGTCCCTGGTCCCTGCAGTGTCTTGCTCAGGCACAGCCCTGCAGCCCTTCGAGAGGCTTTCAGAGGAGCTAAACACTGGGCTGAGGCTCCTTGCTTCTCTGGCTGCTTCTAAGTTGAGAGATATGTGGGGTACCTGCCACTTGGATAAGTGGAAACATGCCTGTCAGACCAGGTGCCATGCTGGTGTCCAGCCAAGGGCAATGTCAGCTCCTGGCCTCTGAGTTTGTCCCCTTCCTTGGCCCCGAGACAGCTCCTCTGAAGGGCAGGGAGCCTGTCCCCACCTCAGCCCTGTGCCTGGAAGCTTCTGTGGTCCATGTCACAGTGGGAGAGGCTTGAGCTGGTCAGGATCAGATGATCTTTCTGGCCTGGAGAGCAGTGTGATGGGACAAGCACCAGCATGAGCTGGGCAGAGCTGCATGCAGAGGGCACATGCAAGGCTGTTTAGGGCATAAGCACATTCTGTAGACATGAGTGGTGTAAGGCAGCATCAGGACATTTATGGCACAGTGGATTGCCCTGGGAAACAGAATAAGGGATATGAGAAGTGGTTCTTGTTTTCCAGCCCATTTGGCCGGTTCAAAGTGAACAGCGAGGAGGAGGAGGAAGATGCCCTGACCCTGTCCTCGGCCATGTGGTTCTCCTGGGGAGTCCTGCTGAACTCTGGCATTGGAGAAGGTGCATCTCCACATGCAGTGGGACTGCTCTGTCCTGCGGCCCCATCCCTGAGCTGAGGGAACAAGTTCCCTTCCACTGACTCCTTTTGTGGTAGGGCTGATGCCCTGAAGGGACCTCATCCCCTGAGCCTTCCCTGGAGCAGGCTGTCAGGAGATTTGGTGATGGCGGTTGTCATGCCTGTGGCACTTGTGCAGACCATCACTGATGGGAAATGGGTCTTTCTTGGGCTGCTTCTCCTACCCAGGATTACGCATACATCAGGGTGAGGCACATCATGCTCTGGAAGGAGCTGGGTTCCTTGGTTTGGGCAGCGCAGAAGCTCCTTGCAGAGCTGTCAGCAGCGAGAGGGTGCACATCTGTAGCTGCCATTGATTCCATGTGGGGCAGACGTAGCTTTGGTGGCCAAGTCAAGCCCTTGTTGTGCCAATCTCATCTCTCCTCTCTCCCTCCAGGTGCTCCCCGAAGTTTCTCTGCCCGTATTCTTGGCATGGTGTGGGCTGGCTTTGCTATGATCATTGTGGCTTCATACACTGCCAACCTGGCAGCCTTCCTGGTGTTAGACAGGCCTGAGGAGAGAATTACGGGCATCAACGACCCCCGGGTAATGACCCCTCTTTTGCTTTCTGAACCCAGGACACCCCCGCTGCCCACCTCTGAGCAGAGATGCCTCCAGTGGGTACCTCGTGACTCATATAATGTGGTCTGCAGTACACAGAGACCTCCTTTAATGTGGCTGTGGGTCTGTGCCAGGGGATTGAGCCCTGGGAGTCTCTGCCTGGGGCTGATGTTGGTGGGTCTGAGACCCTGTGCTGGGTGGGAATGGACAGACATGGGGAGGCATCAGCAGGAAAATAATTGTCCAGGAACAGCACATACCCAACCGAGCTGCCTGCCAGTTCCTGGAGAGCCTGCACTAACCAACGAGGAAACGATTCATTATAGATGAGTTATAGCTAATGAAACTGTCCCAGCGGTGCAGTCAATACTCTCAGCAGATACCAGAATGCCTCAAACCCATTTCCTGCTCTGGCAAGGGTACAGCCGCAACTTACCAGCACAGGCACACAGGAATATGCCCCACAGCAGTGCTGACCCACAGCATCCCACACCCTATTGTGCCCTCTTCCCACAGCACTGCCAGCCCTATGGCATCCATAGGCCTCCTGCATCCTCAGTGCCACAAGGTCCCTGTGCCATGGCATCCCTTGCCCCACCACTGTGGTCCCAGAGCATTCACTGCCCCATGGCATCCACTGCCCAATGGCATCCACTGCTCCATGGCATCTTCAGCTCCACTGAGATCAAGGTCTTCTCTGGGAAACAGGTCCCCAAAGGAGATAGGAAATTAGGAAGCATGGTTTTGGGGTGGGGCAGTTTGGTTGATGAAGGACAGAAGAAACAGGAGCCCTTTCTCTGCCTTTCAGCTGCGCAACCCCTCTGATAAGTTCATCTACGCCACGGTGAAGCAGAGCTCGGTGGACATCTACTTCCGACGGCAGGTGGAGCTGAGCACCATGTACCGGCACATGGAGAAGCACAACTACGAGAGCGCTGCCGAGGCCATCCAGGCAGTGAGGGACAAGTGAGTGGGGCCAGCATTTTGCCTGGCCATGCTGGCAAGAGCTCCAGGGAGCTGCGGTTTTGTGGGATGAGGAGGGCTGATGCAAACCTGGAGGAAGCTGTAGCCAAAGCATGGCTTGACAGGACCGGAACAGTTGGTGCTGGGTGGGATCTTCCTAGTTCTAGTGCGTACCATGTCTCTGGATGGAGAGCACAAGGTCTCTGAGGAAAGGCAGAGTCAGAGACCTGTCCTTGCCCATGGCCTACTTTTCTGGCCGCTGTGCTTGCTTCTGTGCAAGGCTGGGTGACTTTGGGTCCCATGTGAACCCCTCACACTCCTCCTCCAAAATGTTGCCAACCCTTTTGCCTCCCAGCACAGATGCTGCTGCAGGAGGGTGATGCTAATCCGAGTTTAAGTTAGGGTTGGGAGCACCCTCACTGCTCCCACAGTGGCTGCAGGCACAACCTTACCTGCCTGTCCTCTCTCTGCCCAGCAAGCTCCACGCCTTCATCTGGGACTCGGCGGTGCTGGAGTTTGAGGCCTCCCAGAAGTGTGACCTGGTGACAACGGGGGAGCTTTTCTTCCGCTCCGGCTTCGGGATCGGGATGCGCAAGGACAGCCCATGGAAGCAGAACGTCTCCCTGGCCATCCTCAAGTCTGTACCCAGCTCTTGGCATGGGGCTTGCCCCGCATGCTGCATGTGTTAGCATGCAAGTAGCCTTGTGTCAGGCACTGGCACTCCTCCCCAAACCCTCTGCAGGGACACGGGCTCTGGTGGCTGCCCTGTTCCTCCTGGTGAAGGGAATGTGCCTGAGCAACCAGGGTGGGCACCCACATCCCAGCTCTGCTCGCAGGGCTGGGGAAGGGAGCAGAACAGGGCAGGGCAGGCAGCAGGAGCTATGCTGGACCACAAGCAAAGCTGGCAAAGAGCATCCCTGAGGCCACCCAGCACCAGGTTCCTGTGAGCAGTGGCAGGGTGCTGCCACTTCTCCACTGGTCTCTGCGAGCTCAGCCTGGCACTGCACTGCCCTGGCTTGATGTTCCAGGGGTTTTCTTCCAATTCTGACAATTCCTCTTAGGCAGAGATACATCAGGGCCCCTGATGAGTCCAGATAAGGCTTTATACCAGCATTAGCTTGCAGTGTGGGGGACCGCAAGTCGATCTGATATTACAGATAAAATGGGATTTTGTTGTATTAGTTCAGAAATGCCACACTCACTGCCGCCAGAGGAATGTGGTGATGGAGTAACGGGCAGCTGGGAAGCAGCAAGTGGAGGGAGATTAATTTTAAGGAGAGACAAGGGTCAGGACCACCATGGTCCTGCCTGAGGTGTGGAGATGAAAGGCCTCAGAGAGAGGATAGGGAGAAAGAAGACACAAGCAGGAGCCGGGGTAACATAAGCACCCATGGGACTCTGTCTGTAGGGTGGTCTTACTATGGGGATGGGTAGCAGCGAGACAGAAGGGACTTAGGACAACAATGTGAGCAGCTTGGAGGGGCAGCAGGAGGCCTTGGTGTCCTGCTGGGAGAGGATGGGGAAGCCCAAGGGGTGCATGCAGCCAAGAGGGCAGGGGGATGTGCCAGGGACAAGAGGGAGGAAGGCACAGGGAGACCTGTGGTGGGATGTGCGCTCTGTGCCCGCCTCCATCCAGCATCTGTCCAGGCAGGAATGGGCACTGCAGGGATGTGGTTTGCTTCCCCCCAGGAGACGCCAAGTTGCTGGGGAGTCCCAGCCCTCACCATGCACAGGAGGGAGCTGCCAGGCAGAAGTTTTGCCCTGATCTAGGGGTGCCGGTGATGACCAGTCAGGACTGGGGTGCTGTCTGAGCTCCCAAGTGGCTCTGGGAAGGGGGGAACATGCAGGAGGGCACTGGGAGACATAGCTCATGTCACCTCCCTGCAGCCTCTCTCCAGGCACTGCTTACAGCAGTCAGCTCCATCCCTCTCCTTGCGAACCGAGCTTACATGAGGCTCTTTTTGACAGCAGCCAGCCAGTTCTCCATCTCTCAAACAAGGGGCAATGGCACCAGGCAGCTCTGGGTGCTCCCGTGCTTGTGGAGAGTGGCTGCATGCAGGGCAAAATGCAAACACATGAAGTGCAGGCAGCCACTGCAGATAGGCCACACATTCTCTCTGTGCAAGTTCTACCTGCACACGTGTGTGCACACACATGCAGTCAGCCATGCATGCACACACACCATCAGTTCGTGTGTTCGTAGGCTGCAGACAAGAGCAGATGGAGCTCTTGAAAGCTCTAGGATGGAGCATGTGCTCCAGCTGCCTGTGGCTGGTCCCCAGTGACTCCTGCCTGTCTCTTTGTGCTTCCAGGTCCCATGAGAACGGCTTCATGGAGGATTTGGACAAGACTTGGGTGAGGTATCAGGAGTGTGACTCCCGTAGCAATGCCCCAGCAACACTCACCTTTGAAAATATGGCAGGTTTGTTCTGCAAACCTCTTTCTTCTTCTTCGCTGGGTAGCCTGCTTTCGCTCAAGACATTCTCCTCTCCGGGGCTCTCCTCTCAGGCCAAAGCTCTGCTTCTTCTGGGTTTGTGCTTTCCTAGAGCTGGGAGGCTGCTGTTGGGCTCCAATCCCACCTTACCTGAAGCAGCTCTGCAAAGCTTTCCCCACCTTCCCTGGGGCGGCTTTCTCATCGGTGGGGCTGTCCTGCTTTGACCATTGCCCACCTCCCTCCGCTCTGGCCAAACTGTGCTGTCACAGTGAGATCAGAGCTGTCACCAAGGCAGAGAGAGGGGAGCAGCACCTCGGGGGAGGCGAGAGCAGGCAAGGAGGCAGCGAGGATCCTGCTGCAGGAGGGAGGTGGTGGTGAGGGGAAGCCCCCAGCCCCATGGAGTGTGTCCTGGCTGGGCCCGGGCAGTGGGCAGGGGGCAGGAGGAGGATAATGAATACAGAAGGGTTTTTTCTGGGTCCCCTTTTGCAGAGACTGAGAATTACTCCAGACTTGCTCTCCCTTTGCTCTAAAAATGGTCCTTTACCCAGCCAACCTAGTGATGGCCCTTCACCCAGCCAACGTGGTAATGGCCCTTCACCCAGCCAATGTAGTGATGTGAGATGAGAGGTGTCTGATGAGACCCCAGCCTCACCAGTACCACGGGCCAGGGCAGAAGCACTGAGAGAGGGAGCACTTTGCTGCATCTCCTAAGACACACCACTAAAATTGTGACCCCTGTGGGCTGCAACTGGCCCAGGGCAGCACAGAGAGTGCAAAGCTCCCCAAAGAAATCAATATGAGCACCAGAGATGGGTTTCTGGTCCAAACAACCCTATAGCCCCAGAGGATGGTGTCTGCCCTCAGAATCTCTGCAGCACAGCCCATGCCCTGTGCCTGACCAAGAGGCACTTGCATGGACATCCAGCACCCCATCACCCTTCTGCCCATCACCCTGGTCCCCAGCCTACACAGCACCAGCCCTGCTCTGCTGGGTTCCCCACCCCAGCCCCTCCAGGACTGCAGAGGGATGGCAGGGGGCCAGGGAGGGGACACTGGGTTGGAGAATGCTCCTGTCGCTGAGCGTGGTGCAGAGGAAATGAAGCGTCGTGTTGCAATTGCCATTGCCCCCTGTAACTTTGCTGCTTATTTCAGGTGTGTTTATGCTGGTGGCTGGAGGTATTGTTGCCGGGATATTTTTAATATTCATAGAAATAGCTTACAAAAGGCATAAGGACGCGCGGAGGAAGCAGATGCAGCTGGCGTTTGCGGCCGTTAATGTGTGGAGGAAAAACCTGCAGGTAGGACAAACCGTTTTTAGAGCAAATCTCCAACAGGTGCGTTTTCCATTCCTTCACCAAACCAGTGAATGCAGAGCTGTGGATTAGCATGGGGCCCTCCCTCCCTTACCCCAACTCCAGCTGGGCCTTACTGGGCACTCAGTAAGCTCTAGGGTGGGGTCCCTGCCTTGTCCCTGAGAGATGTCCTTGGATGATGCCAAGCTACAGCCAGGACAGAGACCTGACCCGAATGCCCCAATGGTGCTTGGGATGGGGACTTTGTGCTGCTGGGGACCACGTGCCAGATCCATGACAAGCCTTGGCCAAGCAATCAGTGATGGCGTGGCTGCCCTTGCAGCTCTGCCCTGCTGCCTGGCTCCGGCCATGCTCACCAGCACACAGGAGGGTTAATCCACTGTCTCTAAGCATCCCTGCCCAGTGCTCGGGTGGAGAAATGCTCCAGGGATTGTTTCCATCACCTCTCCCCCACCCAGCCCGCTCCCCAGGGATGTGGCAGCCCTTGTCATACCTGGGACCAGCTCCTAAAAGAGGTGGTGCGTGCTCTTGTCATTTGGAGACAAAGACGTCTCCCCACACGGGAGCCAGCGATGCCGGTGCCTGTCAGCACCAAGGCTCCCCACAGCCCCTTTCATGGGGCCATTGTTCTCCCTGGCTTCTCCTATCCCCAAAATACCTCCATGCGCGGGAGGGACAGTGATTCCTGGCAGTGACACTGAGCCATGGGCATGGCCATGGGCCACCAGCCTCACGCTTCCCTTGGTTTTGGGGCTGAGCCCCATGGTGCCCCCAAACCCCAGTTTAGGGCAGCTGGAGGCTCTCTCTGGATCACCTGAGCTGCTCTTCTTCCTTGGGGCAGTAAACTGGCATTCAAAGAGCAAGAGATCCTTTGGGTGACTAAAGGAGACTGCTGTGCACAGCAAAGCCAGTGAATGAAAGAGAGAGAAGGGGGGTCAGGGACCCCAAAACAAGCCCGGAGCGGTGTCCCTGTGGGAGCAGCGCTGGCTGGGGCATGCGGGTGGGCTTCCCGGGTGGAGGAGACCTGCTGAGAGCAGCGAGGGGAAGCACGAGGCCGGGCTGCTGTATCCTGAGAGCTCGCTGGGTTCAGTTCACTGATGAGAGTCTCGGAAAAAGCCGTTCCTCTATATTTTTTTTTCCTTTTTTTTTTATTGTTTCTTTTTTTCCTTTGCTTCCAAAAAGCAGCAGCAGCAGCACCGAGGGGGTTAAGGCTGCTGGGACAGAGCACACTAGTCGCACTGCCATTTTTCACTTGCCAACCTTCTAGAAAATACTGCACTGGGTCCTTGGGCAGAGTCTGTGGGACTGTGAGCAAAGCATGCTGCCCTGTGGGGGTAAACAGCCTCATGGTAAAGAGCCGTTTGACATTGTAAGACTTTTCCACAGGAGGAAACGTCAGAGCACTAGTATCTGGTACATTGCTAGAAGGTAGGCAAGTGGAAAGATTTATTTGTTAAAAACAAACAAACAAAAATAATGGTTTTTTTTGGGATCACAGTTTTGCCATGGCTATTTCCTGAGATGCCATGGAAGAAAAAAAGGCATTTCATTCCATTCATCTTGCTTTCCTTTTCCGTTTGTGCATGTCCGCAAAAGAGAGAACTGAGAAGGAGGAGCAAATGTATCCCCGAGCATGCTCTACGCACCAGCGGGATACATTTTGGTTACCCCCGTGCGGTAGCAGAGCCAGACCTGGTCACTCCGTCCCCCGTCGGAAAGGTCACACTCATTGGCACGAAAGCAATTGGGGAGGAAGCGTCCTCAGCGCCCGCGGCCGAGCGCGGCCGGTCCCCGCGGTTCGCTGCCCCCGCGCCATGGCGGCTGGTGCTCCCAGCCTGCGCCCACCAGGTCCGACTTGCTAACACCAACGCCTACAGTTTTCAGTTCTGTTTCTCTTTGAGTTCATCCCGACCCCGACGACATCATAGCGCTAACGCTTTGCCTCCTCCCTTTCTTTTCCTTTAACCTTTCGGTTCCTTTTAGTTTTGTTGTTTTCTTCCAGTTTTTTTTTTTTGGTGGTTTCTTATTTTTTCTTCTTTTTTTTAAATTTTTTCTTTTTCAACTTGTTTTACTTTGAACAAAACCAAAACCAAACCAACCAAACACCAACAATCACGTTCGGCTTTGCACAAATGCCTCATTCAAATTTTTTGAATACCTTTTTTTTTACAGAATATCCATACAATGACTTCTCTTTCAATGCAGTCCTCTCTCTATCTTTGTGGCACTACGATTCAGCCTCACAAAAGGCCATGAGCAGTTATGACATATATGTTTTTGTAGCGGTAGGTGCAGCATCTCACCTCTCGGTCTAGCCAGGTGGAAGCGAGGGGCAGGGTGCCAGGCAGAGCATTCCCAGGAAGCAAGGTCAGGCAACCAGGAGAGCAGAGATACTCCCCAGAGGAGTTCCCAGTACTCCATATGCGAGGCCAGCCCTGTTAGCTGTAGCATTGTGGTGGCCGTGCTGTAGGCATGGGTCACGGAGGCCCTTGGAGGACTGGGCATGACAGGACACCTCCAGTAGCTTTCCCAGCTAAATGAAGGACATGACACGGGGCAGTATTCAAATAGATTTAGCGTTTCCAACAACACACTAGAGATCTAATCACTTATACATATTCATTTTAGGATAGAAAAAGTGGTAGAGCAGAACCTGACCCTAAAAAGAAAGCCACTTTTAGGTCCATCACCTCCACCCTGGCCTCCAGCTTCAAGAGACGTAGGTCCTCCAAGGATACGGTAAGAGGAAGAAGAACAATTCTGCCCTCTCTCTTTCTCTCTCTTTCTCTCTTCTGCCATCCCATCGACTGCCACACACCCATCCCGAAGCTGCCAGTGTACATGCATAGCTCATGTTCGTCACCAGTCAGTCAGTGAGTCAGTGAGTCAGTCATCCCGTGTACCTGAAAGGATGCTGGGATCCTGGAGGGCAGGCAGGAGGTGGCTTGGAGTCCTGTGATGAGTTGGGAGATGCAACCGAGTTTTTGTTTTGTTTTCTTGTTTTCTTTTTGCCTGGATGATTTCTGATGTTCCTCTCTGTGCTTCGCTCACCTGAACCGGTGCTGACCTCTTGAAACCAATGACATTTTCTTTTCAATTTTTTTTTTCTTTTTCCCTTTCTCCTATTCCTGAGTGTTCCTGTACCTGTTTGTCATTGTATGCCTAAAAACAATCACTCCGATTTAATTTGGGCACCGTGTCACCTCACCAAGACCCATGCGTGTCACATTCTCTACATGTGATTTTTGTTTGTGACGATTAGCTTTCGGGATGTAGTCCTCGGCACAGGAGCGACAGCTGCCTCTGGTTATGGTCAGCAGTAACGCAGCTCTAGAAAAGAGACGCAAAGGCTTGAAAGAGGAGGTTGTTAAAGACCCAATCTTGGTTCAAACTTGTGCTTTTCCGCCTCAGAGTAAAACTGCTCTCATGTAACCAGAGAAAATTTCCAAACTGCTGCCTCTAAAGCCAGCTGTTTCCAAATGTGCAAACGTGTCCGCTCGTGCTGGAGCTTCGGGCACTTCAGCGTCAGGTTGGGCTGTTGGTCTGTCGGACTGAGCCGGTGTCCCTCTGCATGTTGCCGTCTGTTGTATGACACTGCACTGTGGCTACTCTGTTGTCTCGTGTGGCAGCGGCCACTGCGTCTTGCTGCCCGACCTCCCGGCGCGACGGGCTTGACGGAACCTCCTCCCCGGGGCGACCGGCGGGTTTCTGCCCGGGGTTGCTCAGAGCAGGGTCCCCGCCAGGCTGCGGGGGCAGGGGGGACGGTGGCAGCGTGGGGATGTGGACCCCGCAGCGGGATGGCCCGTCCCTGGCCGCAGGCTCGCGGCGCCTCGGGGAGCAGCATGCGGTATCGCAGCGGGTCTCTGGGCCACGGCTCTGTGCACGGAACGGAGGTGGCTGCCTTTGACACCAAGGCAGGCTGCAGCCCAAGGAGCTTGTGGAGCACCCATGGGACACAGCCCTGGGACAGCTGAGCCCTCGGCTGGGCTCGGCTGCCACCGCCTCACACAAAGTGCTCCTTTCACTGTCACCTCAAAGCCTGGCAGGCATGGGGGGGGGGTCCACACTCTCCCCACTCACCCCACAGGGAAGAACTAGATGATCTTAAGGTCTTTTCCAAGCCTAACCGTTCAGTGATACCAACGGGCATCCCTGTCATCTTCTGTGCTGCCTTCATGCTCCCTAGGTGGCACCTGTCCCAGTGATGCCCCCATGGCTGGTGTTCCCCATCTCCACTGCTGCAGCCCAAGCAGCTCTGCAGGAAGGTTACAGGTTGTGTCTTGGTGTCCTGAGACCCAGCCAGGGGAGAGGAGACAGAGATGGGCGGGTGGTGCAGGGGGGACAGGGTGGAAAGAGTGTGGAAGATGGACAGAAAAAAGGGGAGAAACAATTCCAGAAAGGTTTGCTGGGGGAACCTCAGCATGTCCTGAGTAGACCCATCATGTTTTGTTGTGTCTGAACAACTCCAAGGTTAGGAAACCATCTCCTGGAAGAGCAGGAGCATCAGGGTGCAGTAGGCACCTGAGGGGACTGGTACCTGTGTTGGAGAGGGGGAGAGCCCAGGAGCAATGGGGCAGCCGGTGTGAGGCACCCCTGGTACCTGTCATGCTCCCTCTTTGGGAAGCATCCTGGGCCTGATTCTGCTCCCTGGTGTATCACACACTTTACACCACATCACTCCACAGTGTTCTCTGCCCTAGGGTGGGAGCACCCCAGTGCCCTGGGCTGACCAGCACCAGAGGTCCCACGGAGATGTGGAGCCATACTCTCCCTTTCCCTCGCCCAGTGGGGACTAGCACAGTGTGGGGCTCCCCACGTTTTTGGTCCTGGCCATGCTCTTCTTGGCATGTTGCTCACAGGAGGCTTTTGGAGCGAGTTGGCCCCACTCATCCCAGAAGATGGCCCCTGCTTTGGGGGCAGCTCCTGCTGCCGAGGAGCCTGCCGCAGTCTTCTGCCTGCCATGGGGTGACATGGCCAGGGTCCCAGGACATAATCCCCAGGGAACCAGGCTAGTTGGGTCAAGAACAGCCTAGCAGAGCCAAGATCCAAACCAACGTGGCCGAGATGGAAACTAGCAGGTCCAAGATCTGGCTATTGAAGGAGGTCTATGGTGGAGCGAGCTTTGTGGTGATGTTGGGCAGACCAAGAGCTGGTTGCTCTGCAGGTTGAGCAGCCAGCGGGAGGGTGCTGCCACCAGCTCATGTCATGGCCTGCCATTTGGTGCCCTCCGCTTCCATACAGCAGCCCTGGCTCAGAGATCCCAGTGCCCTCCTGCTGTGGAAGGCCCCATGAGTACATAGCATGCTGGGACACGTTGCCTGGGGTCCTTGTAAAGATGAGAAAGCAGCGAGGTGCTCTGATTCATGATGCTCTGCAGAGCCACGGGCCCACACCAGGTCTCAGATGGGCTTGAGAGCCGATGGGGCTGGAAGGCCAGGCTGACCCCAGCCCCATGGGCTCTCCTGGCTAGCGAGCGAAAGACGCAAACCTGGTGGCCTTGCTTCTTTCCTTTTCGTTGTCGGGAGTTTTAAAAATGGATTCTGCTCTGCAGCCCTGCAGAATGGTCCCTCAGGAGTGCCAGAGAGACAGGCTGGCACCATGGAGCCAAGACAGCCCTGGGAAGCTACCACCCCACTCTGAACGTCCTAGCGCCCACCATCACCCGAGCTGCACAGCCTCTCCGCGGCACATCATCCCCACCGCCCCAGGAGGAGATGCATGTGTTCCCCATAGGCAGCTCCTGCAACTCGAATAGCACTCGCAGAGCTGACGTACTGCCATCCATCGCAGCCACCCACGATACTGCAACCCCACAGAAGCCATGTGAGACGCATAAACCACACAGACACCTTCCGAGCCGGCACATTTCGTACAGACACGTTACCGAGGTGCACAGGTCCCATTAGCCCCACCACTGCAGCCATCACCAGCGCCCGCAGAGCCACATGCCAGCCTGCGGGTGTCCCCCCCCAGGGCACAGCATGACACACGTCCCACGCCACCGCCAAGCGAGGGCCCGGTGCTGCCATGGGGATGGTGCCAGAGCTGGTCGAGAACCGAGGGGGTTCATGGAAACAAAGGTCACCTTTTCAGTGAAGGATCAGCCATCCCAAAGCCAAACGCTTCTTGGCTGAGAACCAACCTAGTTTTGGGCCTAAAAGAACCAAAAGTAGGTCAAAGACAACTAATTTACTCTTTTTTTTTTTAGAAGAAAGTTGATGTTTTCTACAGCAAGATTGCATTTAGCTGGAATTCTAATTTTTAATTGAAAAAAAAAAAAACCAAACAACTCCAAACTCCAAAATTCTTCCAGAAAATCTTCCACCAGCCAGGGACTACCATATAAGCCCAGATTAGGTTGAAGTCATTTTTAAAGACATATTAAGTTCTTGTCTATATTTTCTTCCTGGTTGTCATTTAAAGTTTTTGGTGCCTTCACTTCACTTCCATACCTTAACATGTTTGAGTCTCTTCTACGGTTAATATTGATTAATTTCTTCGCTTTATAATGTTTGGTTTGGGGATAATTGCACCATCCCTGTAACATAATTTACCCTAAATTACTAATATGTGCTTCTAGCATTAGTTCTACTTTAACATGGTTTTGATATGGCAGTTTTCTTGCTTTTTTTTCATTTTCTTTTCCTTTCTATTTTTATTTTTAGTTTTTATTATTAAAAATTGCATGCATGAACTCTACACAAGAAAAAAAAAAGTAAATGAGAATGTTACCCTGTGATAACTCTGTGATTGGAGGAGATATGCTTTCAAATCAAAAGCCATGCTCTTGTATATTAATTTTTCTGGCCAGATTCCCCACTTGGATTGGTTATTTTAGCGTTTCCCACCCCCAGAGCTGTGCAGAGAGGCCAGAACGCCCCAACCTGCCCTGCTACACCTCCGAGCACCGCAGTCACACGTACAGCGCACCGAGACACACGCACACCCGCATGCACACACCGCTCCCCCCTGCTTGCATCAGGCAGGGTACTGAACAAAGGAGCTTTCTTCAGCCTGTTCCTTTTTGTACCTCGAGTTCCTCCTTCTTCTCCGGCAGTGAGTCACCAGCCTCTCCCCTTTCCCAGTCGCCTCTCCTCCCTGCGGGAATCGAGCCCCGTCCTGCGAGCACACGCCTCCGGCCATTTTGCCATGGAAAAAGAAAGATTGCGTTTAGCTGGAATCCTTGTTTTTCACAAGGTGGGGGCAGCCACGCCCATTTTTGGGGTGAAAGGGTCGTTTTTTGGTGGCTGACAAATAACCCCAAAAAGCTCCCTCAGGGTGGCAGAGCGACTTCAGGTTCTCCTCGGCCGTTCTCCGTGCCAGCTGGTGACGGCCAAGGTATTGCCCCTTAGCAAGGCAAAGCCACAGCAAGGAACATCTCAGAAGCTCTGTTTTAATATTAGCTAGTGCCGTCAACGATAGAATGATCCTGTGAGATGCTCCCTGGTTGTCCCCAGCACATGAACTGGAGAGATAGGAGCGTGCTGGCTCACACTCCTGCCCCAGCATCTCCCCACCAAGGTGTTCTGGTGAAGCACAAAACCGGGCAGAGCAGGGCAGCCCCAAGGACCCCACGCAACACCTATGGGGACCCAGAGCTCCCGTGGCAGGAGTCAGGGTGCAGAGCCACACAGGGTAGCCACAGGGCCAGAGCCACCAGCAGCACTGTAGGGGCCACAGCCACCGCTGACCATCGCAAGATGGGTGAAAACCCATCACCGAGGAGCCCACGGGGCCCAGCAGAACGGCAGCTCTCCTGAGTAGTGTGGTAGCAGATGTCACTGGAGAGGGTCTACACTGCAGCACTGGAGACCCACTGAGACCCTTTTCCTGTCCTGACACCCACTGAGGTCCCCAGACAGCAGCATAAGGTGCTCAGTGCCACCCGCTCTCACAGCAGGGCTGGACAGGGCTTCTTCCAGTTCAGGGTTTGGAGAGTGGAACAGGGAGAGGAAGGGAGTATGGAAGGAGGAAGGGAGAAAGTAACTACCCAGTTGTAAAGCCCTGCCTGGAGAAGAAGGACTTCTCTTTCTCTTGCCCATTGAAGGGTGTTGCTGCTCTCATTCTTTGCTTGCTGGTGGGACTGCAGCTGGGGACATTTCTCCCAGGGGGTATTTGCCAACCCCCCCACCCACAATGAGCGCAGAACCCCAGATCCAAGCCACATCCCCAACACAGGCTGTATTGTCACATTAGCAATCGACACCACAGTTTGTCAAGAGTCACCCGCACCACACATCTCACCTGTGTGAAAGGACAGTCAAAGCAGAGGCACTCGAGCAAGGAGGTGAAACGGCCTGGCCTCAAAGCACAGCTTGATCTGGCACCAGAATGATGCCGAACCCCAGCCAGACCCTCCAAACACAGGTTCAGCCATGGGCTGGGCTGGTGAGTCACAGGCTTTGTCTTGAAGCTCCCCCAGCGCAGCGAGGGGCTCGCTCAGCAGAGACGCGCTGCCACTGTGGGAGCTGCGCCGCGCTCCTGGGCGTCCTCCCTGCCCGGCCATGGGGTGCTTGGAGAGTGTCTGCAACGACCTCTGCACAAGCTTGGATTGCACTGGGAAGGGGACCTCAGCAGGCAGTGGGGTTTGGGCCGTTTCATCGCCCCCAGGAGATATCCCGTAGGGACACATGGGATGTAAGTGCGGCAAGTGCCAGAACTGCCTAACACTTCTTTCTCCTTGTCTGTGTCTTTGTGTGTTGCAGCAATATCACCCCACCGACATCACCGGCCAGCTCAACCTCTCCGACCCCTCAGTCAGCACTGTGGTGTGACCTTCTCCCCGAGGGCCATCAGTCCTTCCCCCAACACAGTAGGAAGGCACAGCCAGGACTGCCTTTCAAAAGGGACACTGATGGGTTCTTCTGGGTGAGATGGGAGGAAAGCATCCTTCATCCATACACAGTGACTTCATTGTATATCTCCCACCCTTCCTAGGCCTGCTGCCATGCTCGTGCCCCAGAATGCACGGCAGAACCAGGACATGGTTTGGACTTCACTTTTCAGAGATAATCGCTTCCAACCAGTGTTGTTGATAATCAGTATTGCCACTGACCAGCTATGAGCAAGGGGAAAGGCGCCTGGTGCCTGCTCTGCCATGGTAGTAGGGAAGAGTTGGTGCCAACTACAAACATGTGCTCCACTTTGCAGGCTTCATGAAGGCTGCCCAGCACACACACATGGGCCCTCAGACGTGTGCTCCATGTCTCCAACCACCCTGGAGGGCTCCAGACCGACATGCTCGTGATCCAGACCAGGGGAGCAGCAGGTTGGGCGTGTGTTCCTGCTGTGCTGAGTGACCCCCCTCTGCAGCAGGGGCTGGAAGATGCATGCTGTGCTCCTCACCGGGGATGAACCCCCTGCTCCTCCCTTCCATCGGCCCATGGCTATGACTTGGCTCCTGTATGTGGTCTGTTTGCAAGCAAGAGTGATCCCAGCCCTGCAACCCAAGCTCCTGTGCTCCACAGTACTCTGGAGCTTGTAACATGCTGTCAGCCAAGGTTCTGGCTCCCCAGCCTTCCTGCACAGAAGACATCCCCAGGACCTGGCCATGGCCTTCATGTAGCTCTCACACTGTGGCTCTCCCTGCCATGAACATCTCCTCAGGGATCAGCCCTGGATGGTTGCAGTGACCTTCAGCCAAGCTCCACACTGCCTCAGCACCAGCAATGCAAGGAGAGATGTTGCTGGCCGGTCGTGGCTCGCAGTGTCGGTCACCACAGCAGTCACTGGCAGCTTCCCTGCCACACTTGCCTGCAGCTCAAGCTTGCCAGCAGCCCTGAAGCCCCAGCTCGTGTGGCTGCATCTGCCTGAACCTGGAGATGTGGAAGCCAGATCCCAGTTCAGAGGAGAACCAAACAAGACCAGCTGACGCTGTTCCCCCCCCACACCTTCCTCCCCTCAAGCATTGTGCCCATGTGCCAGCATCCCTGAGCACCCTCTCTGTGGGCTCTGTGAGTGGGTCCGGACATACCAGCATAGCAGAAGCATCTGGCACCAGCCAGGCTGGTGATGAGCAGCTACAGCATGTGCATGGGCAGCACCGCATCCTGCCTCCTGCGAAGGAGGAAAACCCACCTGCAGCACGGTACCAAGCCCCAGTGGCATGAACTGCCTTCTCCTGGTGCCAGCCGAGCCGATGGGGCTCCCCCGAGGGCAGGCAGGGTTTTCAGATGGCAGCTGAGGTCTGTGAGCATCGTCCCACTCACTGCAGTGGCTCCATCAAGTTCATCTCGCTCCAGCTGAGCCATTGGACCCATTCTACTTTCTACGTTAATGTAACATTAATACCAAGTTTTTGCAAGAGCTCAGTAAAGTCTAGACCGGATCATGATGCTGTTTATTCCAGTGCCGTGTCCCTCTTTCCGTGTCTGTCTTGTGGCAAAGCTGGCAGGGGGCCCTGTGCTGAATCAGAGCCTCACCCAGTGCTGCCGCAGGGTTTGAAACAGCAAAAGGTGGACGGATGGGGAGGGATGAAGCCAGCAGGGAGAAAGGCCAGGGGCTGCAGAGAAGCCAGGAGGGAAGGGACATCACCATTCCCGGATGCCAGGCTGATGAACAGCCTGTTGCAGGGAGGGACAGGCCTTGTGGGGGACGAGGACACTGAAGCCCCCTGGCTCTTACCCACCTCCATCAAGGGGAAAACAGTGGCAATCCCCTGCCACTGTTGTGATCCCCAGCTCCTCCCCATGTGCTGAGACCACCAGCCCAACCATGAAGGACAATAAGCCCTAGCTCCAAATCAGAAGCCAAGACCTCCTGAGGAAGGATGAGTGCTGTCACTAGAGAGGATCTGAGGGAGCTGGGATTGCTCCTGGGAAAGGCTCCGTGCAAGGGGCTGGTCCTGGCAGAGGTCCTGCAGCCATCCCAGAGGAGATGCTGCTTTCACCAGCTCCCCAGAGCCCTCACAGGCTGAGCCAAGCGGGACTCGAGAAGTGTGGCAGCACGTTGGGATGGTTTCTCTCTTGCAAATAGAAATGGGAGCTAGCCACAGATGAGGTGACATTTGGTTTATTCATTACATGATTTATTTAACCCCTGGCAAGAGCTCGCCAAAGCATTCATTGACCCCCACCACATCCCTGGCAGCTCTTGCATGGGCAAGAGATGGAGCAAACAGGGGAAGCCGGTGGCCACAGTCATCTCATTGTGGCTCTTACTGCCTTGCAATGGGTAAGGACTCATGCCAGAAAGGGCTGTTGCTCCTCCCTGAGAGATGCTTTTGTCACCCCAGCTTGTGAGTTCCTGTGGAGCCCTCACTAAGCATTTCCATGCAATGCCATGGAGAAGAGTTTCCACCGGGAAAGACAAGAGGCAGCAGGGCAGGGAGACACAGGGGCAACCCCAGTCCCTTTTGTGGGTGGTGGGATGTGAGGCAGCAGCAAAGTCTGTGAACCCACATTTTTGTCCCCACTCCCATCACTGAGCTGACCTGGACCCTGGCCTTGGATGAGCTTTAGTCCATGGGAAAAGCTATTGGGGAGGAACCACTGCGCAGCTTCATCCATCTTTTGGCAACCCCTTTGCCAAACCACATCAGTGGGAGCTCAAGTGTTTGTCCAAACTTCACCCCAAACCTCAGCCTCACCCTGGATCTTGGTGGCTGGCTGAGCCTTCTCAAGGAAAGACTCCCTCAAAGGAAGCATTTTACAACCTGCCCTGTCCCTGGGCAGCACATGGGGGGGCTGGGGGCTTTCTGACAGTCCCATGGAGGCTCTGGAGAGCCCCGAAACACACAGATCTTCAAGTGCACCAAAAGGCACACAGAGAGCTCTGGGGCACACCAAGAGGTAAACCAGTGCCTGTCAGGGCACAGGAAGCCAATTGGAGAGCATTTGAATGCACAAAAAGTCAAGCCAAGTGGTCTTGGCAAGCAAAGGCACACCGAGGCTGATGGCACTGAGGGGCATATTGGGTGTTGGGGGCACCAGAAGGCCCAATGAGGGTTTTGAGGCAAACCAAAAGGCACACAGAGGCTCCTGACCTTCAAGGAAAGGTAAATGGAAACGCCACCCAGAGGGGTATGGTGTGTCCTGAGATGCACACAGGGGTTCCTGGCATGTACCAAAAGGCACAGGGAGGCATATGGTGCATCCTGAAATGCACACTGAGGTCCCTGGGCAGCGGAAGGGGCAAGGACAGGGTGAGCTGGAGAAGGATCCCCTGTACCCACCCCTGGTCTGAGGGTGGCCTTCCAAAATACTGCGAGCATCCTCACTCAGAGCTGGAGGCTGCTCCCCCAGCAGTGGGGCAGAGGGAGCTCAGCATCACTGGGGGGGACCCCTCAGATGCAGGATCTCCTGGAGACGTGGGGTTCCTTGCGCAGGTTGTGGTAAACCACCACGACGGAGCCTGTGAAGGTGCAGAAGAAGATACTGGCCATGAAAGAGAACGGTCCAATGATCATGAAGGTGATGTAGTGCTGGGCAGACAGTGAGATCTCCTGACATTGCCTGAAGGACTCGTTCCCAAAGGCCATGATCGGATACTTGTTCAGCTGCTCCGGGACTCTGCAGAGGAGCAAGCTCTTCTCTGGAAGAGAAAATCAGTGTCGATGGGCACACTGGGCCACTGGGCCAAGGCAGGTGTCATGGACAGAGGGGATGGCAGGTTTTTATGGGACCAGGGCAGGAGGACAGGGGTTAGGTTGATAAGGATTGCCCAGGATGGGATACGAAGGAGAGCAGTGAAGGTTCAAGGCTCATCTATGTCCTGTGCAGTGGGGAGTGGGATGAGATGGGGAGGTGGGAACAGTGCTGGAAGGGGGCCTGGAAAATAGTTTTGGAGCAGGTGGTAGATGGGGCAGGGAGGGTGCAGGCCTGGTTCCAAGAGGACACATGTGGGGAGCGGTGAGCACCCAGCATGGAGAGGCCACAGAAGATCCCAGCCAGCACGGGTGACAGGCACGCATCCAAGCTGGAAGCAAGCAAGAACAGTGGCAGCAGAAAGAGAGATCTTGCTGGCAGAGGTGACTGATCAAGGTTCATTGAGGAAGAAATGCAGGATCAGCCCCAGGTTCATGAAAGCACTGGGGAAGGGGCTGAAGGCACTGAGTCCTAGCTGCATCAGCAGTGGTGCCCATTGCAAGCACACCTTGCCCTCAGTGTGATGGGGCTGGTGCCATTGCTGGGGACAGCGCCGGGTTCATGTCACTGGGACATTGTCCAGCCCTCTTCTCCAGGCACAAGGACAGGCACAAGGTGGGCACCAGGTACCAGACCCAGGGGTGCAGACACCCAAGCAGACACAGGAGCTGCCATGGCCTGAGGGTGGGATCTGGGGAACCTCCCCATACCCCCATGGACACTCACCACTGCAAGACCACAGCCACTGGCACCAGGGTGCTGGGTGCAGCCTCAGCCCTGATGGGGTGACCAGAGAGCATGGAGCGGGTGGGGGGCTTAGGGTCATGGTCCTCGAGCACTCACCTCGCACTTTGTCCCTGTTGTGGCTGAGCCAGCGCCAGAGGGGCAGGATACTGCAGCTGCAGCCCCAGGGGTTGTCCTGCAGGAAGAGGGCTTGGAGCTGGGGCAGCGCTTGCAGCACCCCAGGCTCCAGCTGCCTCAGCCTGTTTCCACCCAGGTTCAGCTTGGTGAGGCTGGTGAGGGGCAAGAAGGTTTCGGGGCTCAGCATGGTCAAGTAGTTGTCACTGAGATCCAGCTCCTGCAGTGCTCCGAGCCCCACCAGCGCCTGGCTGTGGATGAGCCCCAGATGGTTGTGGGGCAGGCTGAGCACCCGCAGCCCCGGCAGCGGCGGGAAGGAGCGCGGCCCCAGCACGGTGATGAAGTTGTAGCCGAGCCACAGGGTGCTGGTGTTGGTGGCCAGGCTCGGGGGCACCTCGCGGAGCCCCTGCTCGCTGCAGTCCACGTTCCCCACGGAGCAGCGGCAGGCGGCGGGGCAGCACGGCGAGGGCAGCGGGCGCAGCAGCAGCAGGCAGGCCAGCACCGCCCCGCAGTCCCACCAGCACCCCATGGCTGAGCACCGAGCGACGGGAGCTCCAGAACCGGGGCTCCCCCACGGCCAGGATCCTTGGTGCCCGTCCAGCCACTCAGCGCTCCCAGAGGTGCGGGCTGGAGGTGCCGGGCAGTGCTGGGAGCAGGTGGATGAGCAGCCCCGGAGCCGCTGCGCTCCCGGGAGCGGTGGATGAGCAGCCCCGGAGCCGCTGCGCTCCCGGGAGCGGTGGATGAGCAGCCCCGGAGCCGCTGCGCTCCCGGGAGCGGTGGATGAGCAGCCCCGGAGCCGCTGCGCTCCCAGCCCCGGTTTTGCCTCGGGGTGGAGCTGAACTTTTCTCAGCAAATATTTCCGCTGTGATGCTGCCCTGGCAAGGTGCTGGGCCGAGCCCTCGTTCCTCCCTCTGCCAGGCACCGCTCCAGCCAGGTAAGCATCCAGCTCACCATGGCCCGGGATTAACTGCTTGTGTGTGCTGCAGGCTGGAAAGAAGCAAACAAAACCAAACCCGTCTCTTGGCCTCCATTCTCCCCATGGGTGTGCTGCCTCATCATAGGATCGGAGAATTGTTTGGGTTAGAAGGGAACTTACAGTTCATCCGATTTCAACTCCCTGCCACAGGCAGGGACACCTTTCACACCCCACCGTCTGCAATGTCCCAGGTTACTCCAAGCCCAGGCCAACCTGCTCTTGAACACTGCCAGGGATGGGGCAGCCACAGCTTCTCTGGGCACCCTGTGCCAGCGCCTCAGCACCCTCACAGGGAAGAACTTCATTAGCCATGTACAGAGGGGTGTATGGACCCAGGACCCCCATAACTAGCTAGGGTGGGATAAAGCTTAAGTTTTACCATCATCAGATGTAACGCCATCTTGTGTGCTGGCTCACCATGCCCAGAGGTCCTCAGTGGGGAGTGCTGCTGGCAGCCATGGGCCACCCCACTGAGCCCAGCCCTTGACCAGCCTCTGTTTGCCCTTGGCAGGAGAGCACAAGCCATGCCAGAAAGAGGAGGGTTGGTATGGGGGTCCCATGGGCAACCCTCCTCCTCCCCAGCAGGACCACACGTCTGGGTGCGCACTGGGAACACCCAGGAGCCCCCATGTTAGAAGCTGTGAGAAAGGTGAACCCACTGGGCTGCAGCCACCCAAAACTTGTTTACCCTGGCCCTGGCATGGCAGCACCAGCTCGAGAGGGCTCAAAGTCTGCCCCCACCCTGTTTATACCCGCTCCGGTTTCAAGCTGCTGAAGCCCCACAGCAGATGGGAGAGGAGGAGAGGAGGGGAGGGGAGGGGAGGAGAGGAGAGGAGAGGAGAGAGAGAGGAGAGGAGAGGAGAGGAGAGGAGAGGAGAGGAGAGGAGAGGAGAGGAGAGGAGAGGAGAGGAGAGGAGAGGAGAGGAGAGGAGAGGAGAGGAGAGGAGAGGAGAGGAGAGGAGAGGAGAGGAGAGGAGAGGAGAGGAGAGGAGAGGTGTCACCTCTTGGTGTCCCTGGCAGAACATGGTGGACACCCGGGACACAACCAGGAGCACCTCATCCCACTGGCAGCCCAAAGAGGGGACACCATCCTCTACACACACCATGGCAGTTCCTGTCCTGTTTAGCACCCTCGTGCTGGGTCATCATGGCCAAAGGGCTGGGAGGGCAGCAAGGCAGTGCACAGGGTGTTCCCAAATCTGGGCCAGAAGCAGCAGGCAGGAGGTTTATTAATAGCATCCAGAGGAGCTTTGGGTTGTTTATCTATCCTGCAGCAAACTCGGTTTTACTGCATTAATCCCCATCTGGAAGTAATTCAGAGGAATCCTACAGCCCAGCCCAGCCCTGGAGCAGGGCACAGACCTGCAGCCACGTGGACCTGCAACACCAGCTCATCCCATAGCTGTGGGCTATATGGGGACAGGAATTTTTAGGGATCCCTGTCCCCAAATGCTCTTCCTCCCCAAGGGATGCATTGCCTGTGACCACCTAGGATCAGGAGGGAAGGGCAAAATTCATTGTGGGGAAAAAAAAAACAAACAAACACTATTAAATAAAGAGTATTCACACTCAGAGACCCCAGGAGCTGCAAACCCACCCCAGCCCCTCACTGTCACCCTGCTGCACACTCCATGGCACATGGCAAGAGAGATGTCCCCAATGTCCTCCATGCAGGAACAACAGCAAGTGCAGGGCTGGTGCTGTTTGCGCAATGCAGGCATTGGCTGCAGCAGCTGCAGGCTGGTGACACTTTGGGGTCCTACCCCCGGCAGTGACACTGTCCCTTCACACTTGCTGCCAGTGCTCATCAGTGCCCCATCCTCTGGACCCAGCACCTGCAGGGAGAGCCCAGCTCCCTGTCCCCAGCCAGGGCTGCACCCACTGGTGCCCTGCTCCCCACTGGGGTTTAGGGTTCCACAGGGAATGGCGCAGCATGGCCCCCAGGCGGCTCCAGGGGAGGCTGCTCCAAGCACCCACTCTGCAGGGACAGCCCAGGTGCCCTGTGCTGACTGATGGAGGAGGCTCAACACCAGCCCTGCTCTGGTCAAGGGGTGTAAATCAGGGTGCCAAGACTGTTCCCACAGTGAAGTGATGCAGGGGAATCACTTGATGAAGGGAACCCTTCCCACACTGTTCCCAACCTCCACCATTGAGTATCTGGGGAGAAATGGAGATAGAGGGCAAGATGCTAAGACTCTGCGTTAGCTCTCCTCCTGTCCTTAAAGGCTTTCGTTTATTGCATGTTTCCATGCGATCAAAGACCCGAGGCAGGTTCGAACCACATCACACATCTGCTGTGATGACACCTCCGGCCTGGGACATCCCTGGTGCTCCTGCACCCATGGCTGGAGCTGCCCAGGTTGGGCTCTGCTGGGAACAGCTCAGCTCGGACTCCTTATGGCAGGTGACACCAAGTGGTAGAACTGTGCATGGGTGCTGGACACGGGGTGAGTGCTGTGCTGGGTATGGGTGCTGCGCATGGGGTGGGTGCTGTGCACGTGTGGGTGCTGCGCATGGGGTGGGTGTTGTGCACGTGTGGGTGCTGCGCATGGGGTGGGTGTTGTGCACTTGTGGGTGCTGCGCATGAGTGGGTGCTGCACACGTGTGGGTGCTGTGCAGGGGATGCTGCACAGGGTATGGGTGCTGGACTCCTCTGGCTGCAGCCCTGGCACCTAGTGCAGGGGACAGTCAAACACCAGGACAGCCCAGGGGACACAGGATCACTGCGACCGCAGGGAGCACAGGCTGGGGTCCCCTGCTGAGCCCCAAGGGGCACCCATGGTACCTGGTGCTGGACAAGCTGAGAAAGTTGGGGCTGTTCAGCCTGGGGAAGAGAAGGCTACGTGGAGACCTCATAGCAGCCTTCCAGTATCTGAAGGGGGCCTATAGGAATGCTGGGGAGGGACTCTTCATTAGGGACTGTAGTGACAGGACAAGGGGCAACGGGTTCAAACTTAAACAGGGAAAGTTTAGATTGGATATAAGGAGGAAGTTCTTTACTGTGAGGGTGGTGAGGCACTGGAATGGGTTGCCCAGGGAAGCTGTGAATGCTCCATCCCTGGTGGTGTTCAAGGCCAGGCTGGACAGAGCCTTGGGTGACATGGTTTAGTGTGAGGTGTCCCTGCCCATGGCAGGGGGGTTGGAATTTGATGATCTTAAGGTCCTTTCCAACCCTAACTATTCTGTGATTCTGTATTGGAAGAGCTCATAAACCACATGGAAAATGGATGCAGGAAATGGGCTCTGTGGAAGGACCACAAGAGCTGCCCAGGTAGTGCCAAGCCCTGCCCAAGAACTGGTTTGGTACCACCCTGGTGGACCCCAGTTCTCCACATCTGGCCTCTCTTAAACACACACCCAGATGTCTGGGGTCTTGTCCTTGCACCCACTGTTTGGGGTCAGGCAGAGAAAGTCTTGCTGGCAGCAAAGGCATGGCCTGGAGAAACGGCAAAGGGGCTGGAGCAGAGGGTTTGCTTGGCTGTGAGGCAGAGAGGTGGGAGAGGGGCAGGGGGGAAATCCAAACCTGGCTTGTGCCACAGAGCACAAGAACAAGCAGGAGCTCCTGCGGGCTCTGCTCTGCATTACTGGGGCAGAGTAGGTGGTGGACACATAAATCTGAAGAGCTGGAGCAACGTGTTGTGGTCTCCTGACAACACTGTCATCCTCGATTTCAACGGCCCAGCTACCCCAATGCTCAAATTCCTCATGCAAGTGGCCAACAGAGCAAACACAGGATAGCGATCAGCTGGGCAGGTCGCTGCTCCGCATCCCAACCCCAACATTGCAGGGCTTGCCCCAGGCTTACCAGAAAATATGACCAAGACATGCAGGCCAGCAGGGCCAATGTAGTGTGGTTTAATGGGTGTGAAGCTTTGAGGGTGTTGAACATGGCCCCAGAGTATCACTGTGTCACCTCCCATGTCCCCAGGGATGCTTGGTGGAGATGTCCCTGTTGAAGAGCTACATGCATGGAGAAGCCATGGATGAGCAAGGCCCTGGCCAGGGACCAGGGGCCGTCTGTGATGGCTGGGTCAGGCTTCTGAGTTGCCAGAGGAGCAGGTGAGCAGGACGAGAGGGTGAAGGCATCCTCATCATCCACCCTGCTGCACCCCAAATCCCAGCAGGATGGACACTGGCAGGATGGGCAGTGAGCCCTAAGCAAGCTGAAGCCCTTCCCAGGCTGCTCCTGTCCACACATGGCCAAGAGGGTCCCCAGCAATGGTCCCAGACTGCACTCAGCAGCCCCCTGCACATGCTCAGCTCTCGAAGGCCGCCGTCACCCCACAGCATGAGCACGGCCGGCAGCAGCCCCGCCGGGGGAACAGCGCCGGAGGCACCGCGTCTTGGCACAGCCCCGCTGGCTGCTGCGTCACCACCTTCTCCTTGCACGAGCCCTTGGTGGCCGGGTCGGGATGGGACCTGCCGGGCACCTGGGGATGCTCCTTGTCGGCCTTGACAGCGAGGAAGGTGGCGAGGTCGAGGTCGAGCATGGCAACGCCGCCGCGCGGTGTGGGTGTGTTTTGGCGGCACTGCGGGCAGGGGATCCAGCGCTGCTCGTTGGCCACAGCGTCCAGGCGCTTCAGGCAGGCCTGGCAGAAGGTATGGCCGCAGTAGAGCCGGCGCGGCAGCCGCACGCCCAGGTCATAGGAGGAGTAGCAGATGATGCACTCGACACGCTGGCTGCCCCGGCTTGGGGTGCGCGAGTGGACCCTGACACACGGCCCCGCGTCCTCTGCCCATGGGCTGCCGCTGGCCTCAGACATGCTGGGGAGGGGAGGGTGAGAGAAGCTGTCAGCCTCACGGCCAAGGAGGAGTCCCATGGGATGTGCAGCCGATATGGGAGAGATGGGGACCGACCCCATGTGTTGGGCTATCAGGGGCATCAGGCTCCTTCCCCCCCATCCCTGCCTGCTGCCTGCATGGCCCATGGCCAGCTCTACTTGGAAGAGCAGGACCCAGTTCTAGGCTCCTCTACAAGAAAGATAACCAGCTACAGGGAAAGGTCACAAGGATGCTCAAGGGTCTGGAGCATTTCTCCGAGATTGCTCGGCCTGGTTAGTCTGGAGAAGAGCAGCCTGAGAGCAGATCCCATCCATGCAGATCAGTATCTCAAAGGTGGGTGCCAGCAGGATGGTGCCAGACTCTTTCCAGTGGTGCCCAGTGACAGGACGAGGAGCAATGGCCATAAACTAACACGCAAGTGTCACCTCAACATGAGGAAGAAGTTCTTTCTGCTGAGGGCATCAGAGCCCTGGCACAGGCTGCCCAAGGGGGATTGTGGAGTCTCCCTCTCTGGAGACATCCCAAACCCACCATGGACACGTTCCTGTGTGACCTGCTCTGGGTGGCCCTGCCCTGGCAGTGGATTGGACTGGATGATCTCCAGAGGTCCCTTCCAACCCCAACAATTCTGGAATTCTGTGTGCTTGCCACTGCATGTAGGGATGTAGGGATCCCCTACATGTAGTTCCCTGCATCCATGGGGGATGCATTACCCTTGTGCCATGCTGCATCCCTGGCTGAGAGCTCTGCCAGCTCTGCCATTCCACAGGGAATAAGGGCTGGACAGACCTCAACAGCCTGCTCAGGTGAATGTGGGGGAGTGGGCTTGACCGTGGACAAGAGAGCAGCATCCGGAGGACCAGGCAGTGCCACAGCCCTGTTCCTTACCAGCCCCAGGCCATGCCAGGTGACCATGGTATCATTGTCAACATTATGGGATGGGCATGCCAGAGGATCTGGGGGGTCCATGCTCATCTCAGGTGGGGTCTGGTAACCACCACCATGTTTGAAAACCTCTCCCAAAGGCTACCAAGACCCCACTCCCTCTCTACTGAGTGACCTCAAGCATTTTGGTGTCCATGGGTGCACCCCTCCACCCAATTCCCCCATTCTTACCTGTCCTGAGATGCTCCCCCAGGGCCTCAGGGGAGGTGGCAGAAGAGCTGCGCTGTTCTGGGGGGCTGTGGCAGTCCCATGGAGAGCACTGGGAGCCCAAGACACCAGCAGCAACCAGTCAGGTCCGGGCGGCTGCTGGTGGCTGTGGCAGTGGGAAGGGGCTCACCTTTCAGGGACAGGCATGCTATCGGATCTGGGAGATTGGGTTACAAGCATCCGGATAGCACAGCCTCGGAAATCCAAGTCCCAGGAGGGGTCATTAACCACCCGTCTCTGCTTCATAAGCAGAAGGAACTGTCCCCATGAGGCCAAGAAGCTCTGGGCAGCACCATGAGAGGAGAGGGCTTGGACATCTCTGTACCTGGGCAGCAGCATTGCAGTCTCCCACATCCTCGGCTACCCACCATGAACAAGAACATCTGGGCAGATGCTGGCCAGCGGAGACACCCCATCCCCTGCTCATCCATCCCCAGGTGATACGGGCTGTGGTGGGGCGGGAGGCACAGAGAGACCCCAGGGTGCAGGGGCTGGGGCTGGCACAGGGACAAGGCTCCAGCGTGGTCCAGGCAGGTAGCACCCACGTGTGGGGTGATGCTCCTCATCCAGTGCCTGGGGGTGATGCATCCGTGACCTGCCCTTGGTCCGGCAGCAGCGCTGCAGGCTCAGCACTGAACAGGGGATGGTTTCAAACGTGGAATGTGGCAGGGGGACAGATCCTGGAGGAGAAAAGCACATCCTGGAGCCAGGGCAGGACTGCCAGATACCCGGCAGCATTTCTGCATGGGAGCAGGAGAGGGCAGCAGCTCCCGCTGCAGGCAACAGTGCAGGCAGGGACACAGGCGGTGCTCTCTTGCATTGCCTGCTTACCAAACATCACCCCAGCTCTCGGGTCATGCTTCCAACACTCCTCGGCAGCAAGAACTGGGGGGGGTGGAAAGTGAGACCCTCATGGAGTCACTGGACTCTGCAGAAAAACTTCACCCCTTGGAGCTGGTGTTTGGGAGTAAGAGCAGAGCACAGCAGCACGGTGGGCACAGTGGCCATGTCCTGAGACAAGATCCTGATCCATCCCGTCACAGGTTTCCCCAGGCAGTGCACATGGGGTACATGGTCCCCTGTGTCCCCAGGCGTGGCGAGGGTACCCGACAGCAGGGCTTTGCCTTCCCCTTACCACACTGGCAGCAGGCAAGGGATGTGGAACCCCAGCCATGGCCTGACTCAGTGGCCAAGGTGAGGCAAGGGCCATGTGTCCTGGTCAGGTCAGGACCCAGCTTTGCTCTGGCATTTCTGGGTGCTACCAGGATGGCAGCACTCTGGGTGCCAGCGCTGGAGCCTGGATGAGCAGCATGCTCCTTCCAGGGCCATGTGCTCAATGATGTACAAGGCAACTGGGTGCCTGGAGATGTCCAGGCATGTCCCAAAGCTGGCAAGAGTCACTCTCCCACCCAAAGCACGCTCATTGCTCATCTGCCACAGGGCGAGCTATGGAGGAGGTGTCAGCCCCTTTGGGCAGTGGGAGCCTATATGGGTGAGAGGAATGAGCTTGGCTCCCTGCACAATGGAGCCAACAGAGCCCCTGGCACTGCCTTGGAGGCCTCTCCTTGCAGAAATGAGCACACACTCACACAGGCTCCCTGCCTGTCCTCCTACCCCCCTGCAGCCCCTGCCCACCTCGTGTCCCCCTCCCATATGCACCAGAGCTGTGTCCTATTGAGCCGCCCTCTTCTGCCTGTTGCATGCAAGCCACGGTGTGGGGCTGTGCACCCCGGCTCACCCGCCCTGCACCCTTGGTGACATGGGCTGTGCAGCACGGAGGGTGACACCAAGGGGCTCGCTGCCTGGAACCAGCCCTCAGCGCCCGCTGCGCTCCTGAGCGCGGGTACGGGGGAGGCGTCTCTGCAAGCGGCAGTGACACACATGGGTGGGAAACGTGTTTTCCTGCTCCCAGGACTCATCCCGAGAGCTGCAGGGACCTTGGGCACAGCGGGACAGGGAGCGGCACCCGCAGGGCAGGGCAAAGGTCTGCTCGAGATGAGCCAGCGCCACGCATCAGCTCCCGTGCTCCACACACGGGAGGTGGCAAGGCTCCATCACAGCCCTGCGCACCCATGAGCGCCCTGCAGAGATGCAACACACCCCGGAGCACCCATGGGACCCTGCCCATGTCACCCAGAGCCCCGCCAAGGTCTGCAGCAGCAGCATCCTGTGCCCTCCCTCCCCTGCTCACACCCCCTACCCCACCCCCCAGCCTTCCTGCTTCTCTGGTTTAATCATTGCCCAGTGTCTGCCCAGCCTCTCCCACCTTGTTTGCCATCGCCCCGGGGCTAGGCAGAGCGAAGGGCAGCAGTGACACAGCACCACAGGCAGATGCTGTACCCTGCCAGCTCCGTGCCCGCACCCCTTGTCCCCCAGGGGCTCTGCTGAAGGCACCGCACCCCCTTCGGGGACACTTCTCCTTCCCAAACCGTGTTTGTCCCGGGGTTTATCAGACGCCGGGGCACGGAGCAGCCTCTGCGGGTGCTGGTTTGAACCAAGCCAAGGTGGTGACACCAAACCCTGCCCAGCCGCGCCGCGGGTGGGCTCCATGGCACGGCAGGGCCGGCGTCGGGGCCACCAAAGCAAACACGGGGTGGATCTGCCTGTCCCTGCGCCAGCGCTGCTCCAGGCAGGGAGAACAAGAGCGCTCCTTGTGCAGGGCAAGGCGTGGACAAACTGTCAGGGCTCAGCCAGCGGCACCCGCGCCCAGAGGCTCATAGGGGTGGGGGGATTTCAAGGGTGCTGGGGTCCCAGGGAGTCACAGCCAGCCCGGGCAGTACCACAACTCCTCCCTTCCCCAGCCAGGAACCTACCCCTTCCCCAGCCCTCCCCAAACCCAGACTCCTTCTTTCCAGAAGACAGGACAGCATCCAGCTTGGCAAGGGCAGGCTGAGCTCCAGCCAGCGTCCCTGGGCAGGCAGGCACTGGCTGTACTGGAAATGCCAGGGAGAGGGGAGCGTTGGGCTCTGGCTGATTGCTGAAGAGATTGTGCCACTGCTGCTGCCCCACGTCAGCACTGCAACAGTTAAACCTGGTTTTGAAGGGAAAGGAGAGGGCTGCGTGCCTCCTGCACTGCCCTGACACAACCCCGGGATAAGCAAGACGGAGCATGGGAATCCCGGAAAACCCAGGGCATAGGAGGGAAGAGGCACAAGCCTTGGCAGGGGAGAAGATGGCTGTTATTTTATTTGCAGCACCCTGAAGTCATCACTCTTTCCAAGCCCTTGCAGACCAGGCAGCTCCTGCAGCAGCTTCCAAGCCAACACAAGGGCCAGCTTGTTCCAGGTCGGTGGCACCAGCCCCAGCCCAAAACCCAGCCTGGAGCCCCACCAGCAGCAATGCAAGAGCCCAGGAGGATCCTCACCCACCATCCTCCATGCCCAGGGAGTCACAGAAGGCTAATGATAGGGGTCTGCATCCCAAATAGGGTGTCCCAGTGCTCTCCCCACTGGACCAGCCCCAACGCAGTGTGGAGCTCAGGCCGGGATGTGCACAGGTCAAGGGGCTGTGTGCAGCACCCCACATGCCTGGCAAGAGGAACCAAAAGGGGCCAGGGGTCTCCTGGCACTGGGATGTTAACACCCACAGCCATGCTGTGCCATGGGGCACTGCCCAGCACCCTGCCACACTTTGTCTGTCCTTCCCATCTCCTTCCCTCTGTCCCATGGCCAGTGTGGCAGGGGGGGAGAAGTACACAGCGGAGCTTGGCACAGGGGCTGCCCCATCCCCACAGTGCTGTGGGTGGGGGGACCCCTCAGTTCTGGGGATGTGGGTCCCAATCCTGGCTGGAGACATGTCCCTGGCTTCCCTCCAGGAGGATGACCATGACAGTGCCCTCCTTTGCCACAAGCACAGGGCTGCCATTACCCAAAACCACCCTCTGGCAAGCCAGCAGTGCCTGCACTGTCCCCAGAGCCAGATTCTCCAGCAAGGGCAGAGGGGCAGGGTCAGTGCATGGGCTCACAGGCTCAAAGTGCTGCACCAACCCCATTGCAGGCTCTTCTTGGCCGCATCTGAATGGGCACACACCATCCTTAAGGATCCTGGGCTTCAGTGGGGCAGGGGGGACCTGCCCTTCTCCCCCACGCCCCACACTGGGCTCTCTGCACCTGGCAAGTGCCCATCACTGGTGTATCTGGCTGCAGAGCTCGTGGTGGAAAGCAACAGCAGAGTCCAGCCAGTGCCCACTCCCAGGTGCCGGCTCTGCTGGGTGCCGTGTCCCCATCCCATGGTCAGCACGTCCCACGAGGGCCCTTAAGAGATGACACAGCAGCACTTTCTACAGTGGGAGCAGCGCTTGCAGCACCCGCATCCCCCACTGGCCTCCAGCTCCTGGCTTTTGGGTGGATTGTCCAGGGTGACAGTGTAGAAAGAGCTGGACAATTCCCTGTTGGGCATCCTCAGGCTGGCATAGGGGTTGTAGGGACGGGACCAGGACTTCTCCGTGGAAATGGCTGGGCTGTTCCAGCTGCCAGCGGGATCCTCCTTCTCCTCCGTGTAGGTGGGCACAGCTGCAGGGTTGGCGATGACAGTGGGCTCATCCTTCAGGTAGCGAGTGATAAAGCTTTGCTGGAACTGTTCCCGTGGGATGTTGACGCTGGCATAGGGGTTCTCCAGGCTGACGCCACGATCCATGTCCCTGCTTGCTGTCAGCACATGGGGCCTGGCTGGCATTGCCCAACTCCTGGTGAGACAGAGACCCCCAATAACCCAGTGTGCAGGGGGGTGTCAGAGCTGGGATTGCTCTCAGTTGAGGGGAAGGGACCTCCAGCAGACTCCACCAGTTTGGGAGCAGGGTGCAGAGCTGTGGTCCCCGCTCGCTGCCAGCCCAGGGGACTCCACAGGCAACCCCGATGCTTGTGGCCCTGATGGCAGAGTCAGGAGGGGAGGCAAGGGAAGGGTGACACAAGGGCAGGGAGACATGGGGTGGGCAAGTTGCTGAGGGGCAGAGCTGAGGCTGGGTGGAAGACCGGGTGCAGACAGGACAGCGGAGTGGGAGCCTCTGGAGCGGTCAGGCTCAGAGGTGGGGGCAGCACTGGGGAGAGGAGTGGGGAGAACGGGAGCGCGGGGGGAAGAGAGGCAGAGGCGGGGGAAGGAGGAGACTTGACCGCGGTATGGAGAGGGGCAAGCGCCGGGGCAGGGACTGGGGTAGGAGCGGGAGCGAAGGGGAACCGGGCTGGGGCAGGGGCCGGTCCGGAGGAATGGGGCAGGCACCGCGCTGGGCACTCACCGACCGCGGCTCCGGCCGCTCCGGGGCCGCTTCTGCCGCCGGCAGCGCTTCCTCCTGCACGGACCGCCCCGCCCGGCACCGCCCCGCCCGGCACCGACCGCCCGGCACGGCCCCGGCGGCCAGCACCCGCCTCCGTACCCGGCACCTACCTCCGGACCCAGCACACACCGACCCCGGCACGCACCCACCCCGGCACGCACCGACCCCGGCACAAACCGACCCCGGCACAAACCGACCCCGGCACGCACCGACCCCGGCACGCACCGACCCCGGCACGCACCCACCCCGGCACGCACCCACCCCGGCACGCACCCACCCCGGCACACTCCGCCAGACCCCTGCCTGCACTGGACACTGGCACCAGGAGGGGGCACAAGGAACTGATCACCGATATCAGGCGTGGGGCACTGGACAGAAGCAGGGGGCACTGGACAGGGGGCACTGGGCAATGGGAACTGGACACTGGTCAAAGGCACTGGACACGAGGCAAGACAATCAGTACTGAGCACCGTGCCCAAGCACCAGCACTGTTGCTTTGGGGCCCAGATCCTGGCACAATCCCACTGTCAGGAAGTCAGTGTCCCTGTCCCCACCACCAGCTGCCAGGGCAGGGAACTCCCAGACTTGGTGCCCGTTTATCCATGATGTGGGAGAAAAGGGTCGAAGCTCCCTGAGGCTGACACAGGGCTGCTGAGCTCTGAGGAGGAAAGGGGGATGTTGGTGTAACCTTCAGCACACATCATCAGCCTTTGGAGGCAACCCTGGCCGTGTTCGAGGCCAGGTTGGACACAGGGGCTTGGAGCAAGCTGCTCTAGTGGAAGGTGTCCCTGCCCGTGGCAGGGGTTGGAGCTGGAGGAGCTTTAAAGTATCTTCCAATACAAAGCAGTCTGGGATTCTGTTATTCTATGACACCTTGTCTTTAGGCAACAGGCAGGTGTCCACCTTGGCCTGGTAGGGACATTGTAGGTCCCTACAGACAATGTAGTTGCTCCTGTTCCTGTTCCTTGCCAGGGAACCTGGGTTAATCCAGTCCCCATTCTGAGGCCCTTGCTGAGGCACTGCTTCCAGGGATGTCACTGCTGTGCCCATGGCCGGGGGAAAGAAGCTGCTAGGGACACTTGGCCCAAGGACAAGTTGGCCATCAGGAAACTGAGGCTGGAAAGGAAAAGATGCCCAGATCTGGCCAAGGAGAGCAGCAGAGGAGGCTGGAAAGGCTTTCCCAAGACAAGGCTGCAACCAGCCCTGCAGAGCTGGCACCGGAGCTGGCGAGGAATGGCATTATCCAAAAGGTGCCTGGAGATGGGAGCTGCTTCAGTGGGATGCCAGGGAAGGACATCACCTGGGATGGAGGCACCTCAGATTAAAGCTGACACCCTGCTAGGGGAGGTTGTACTGGGTCCACAGCCCCAGGCAGCAGCACGTGGATATCCCTACCCCAGAAAGCTCAGCAATGCCAATGGGTGAGCTTCATTCAGAGCCCCTTTGGGGGAGGAATGGTTCTGAGGACACAGGGTGCCATTGCAGGGTCTGGGGGTGCCCCAAAGGGCCGGATATGCAGCCTCACTGTGAGCAGAGCTGCATGAGGCTGTGCCTGGATACCTGCAACAACAAAACAAATGAGCAAGTCCTGAGGTGCTGGGAGGAAGAGGAATCACTGCTAGAGAGTGACACAAGGACATCCCTGTGCAGGCAGGGACAGGCTGTGAATGGGCAGGGCTGGCATTGCTGCTGGGAGGATGCTGGGAGGATGAACAAGGGGAGGGTGCTGCACATAGGTCAGGGCAATCCCAAACACAAATGTAGGCTGGGCAGGGACTGGAGCAGCCCTCCAGTCTGGAGGAGAAGGGCTCCACTGGAGAAGGACTTGGTGGTGCTGGGTGAGGAGAAGCCCATCCTCAGTGTGTGCTTGAGCCCACAACCCCCCCATGTGCTGGGCTGCACCCCCAAAGTGTGAGCAGCAGCTCAGGGAGGGCATTCTGCCCCTTTGCTGTGCTCTGGGGAGACCCCCCCTGCAGTCCTGATCCAGCTCTGGGGCAGCAGCACAAGAGGGATGTGGAGCTGTTGGAGAGAGTCCAGAGGAGGCCATGGGGATGCTGCGAGGGCTGGAGCAGCTCTGCTCTGGAGCCAGGCTGAGAGAGCTGGGCTGGGTCAGCCTGGAGAAGAGAAGGCTCCTGAAGGGGAGACCTTAGAGCAGCTCCAGTGCCTGAAGGGGCTGCAGGAAAGCTGGAGAGGGGCTTGGGACAAGGGCCTGTAGGGCCAGGCCAAGGGGAATGGCTTTAACCTGCCAGAGGGGAGACTGAGCTGAGCTCTTAGGCAGAAGCTCTTCCCTGTGAGGGTGCTGAGGCGCTGGCACAGGGTGCCCAGAGAAGCTGTGGCTGGCCCATTCCTGGCAGTGCTCAAGGCCAGGTTGGACACAGGGGCTTGGAAGGTGTTCCTGCCTGTGGCAGGGGGTTGGAACTGGAAAAGCTTTAAGCTCCCTTCCAACCCAAACCATTCCAGGATTCTATCAACTACAGCAATCGCATGAATGCCTCAACATCTTGGTACTTCACACAGCAAAAAAGGCTTTATATTGTTAGAAAAATAACAAACCAGAAAGCCACGGGCATGTCCCGCCACTGGGCACCCTTCCCCTCAGACAGCACACGTGTGCACCAGGGGCGGTGTGGAGTTCCCCAGCCCCAGGAGTCTCCCAGACACCAGGACACAAAAACCTCATGGAGACATCGGTGTTTGTTGAGTATTCCCCCTTGGCTCCGGGGAGCTGCAGTGCCGCGCAGCAGGCACATGAGGGTGTTGATGCTCTTCCCAGCCCAGCAGCAACGCTGCAGAGCCGGGTTTCCTGGAGGGAAAGGTCTTGCCGTCAGCGGGGGAGCCGCTCGGTGAGAGCCCTCTTCTGCTGGGACTGAAAACTTGTGTGACAAGAAGGAGAGCTCGTAGGTGGTCGGTGTGCGAGCAGGGAACGGGATGAGTTGGGCCAGTGCAGTAATTGGAAGCCAAATCCCAAATTCAGGCTGTATGAAACAAAGCCAGATGGGTGGAATGATTTCAACTGGGACACCACAAGGGTCCCTCCGTGAGCCCCTCTGCTGTGTGAAGTCTTCTCAGAGGCATTTGCCTTAATTCCTGGCTGCCTCCTGACCAAAAAGCAGAGGAAGGGGGATGACTGGGCGGCCCAGGGAGAGGAAGGCATTACTGGGGTGAGCACTGGCAAGTGGAACCCTATGGGGTTGGTGCCACCAGGCCCAAGGACTCAGCTGGGCGCCCAGTGAGCAGGCATGAGGGTGACACGGAGGGGACTGATGGTTCATCGCTGAGGGGTGATGTAGGGAGCACAGAGCAGGGATGGGGGATCTGGGGGCTCATGGCAGCTGTAGGAGCTCATGCTCTGAGCCCATCAGCAGCACATCCTCATTTCCAGTGCCCCAGCATGGTACAAAAGTCAGCTCATGCTCCCAGGGCTAGGCTGGGGGCTTGTGCTCAGCATGCCATCCCCAGCATCCTGTACAGCACACGGGCACAGCCCAGTGTGGGCAATGAGACCTGCCAGCCTCACAGCCATGTCCCATTGCAAAGGTCCTATTTGCAGCCCTGCACTGCTGGTCTCTGGTAGTCTGCCTGTGGCATGCAATGGGGTGCCCCAAAGTATGGTGGCAGCTTTCAAAGCCAAAATGGAGCCTTGATGTGACCAGCACAAGCTGCTTGATGAGAGGGATTGCCTGCAGTGCCAGGATGTGTCCCATCTTTTGGGTAAGCACATGGGCTGCAGACACCAGGGGGGCCCTGGGCCATGCACCCATCCTGCAGCAGGCCCAATCCTGCCCTCGACACCAGCACCTGTGGTTCAGGTCTGTACCAAGAGGCAGCACAGGCCTATCTATAACCCCCTCGAGGCTCTGGTGCTCACCCTGTACCTGCCTCCCTGGCTCAGCCGTGTGCTGCGGCAGGGTGAGGATGCTGCAGAGATGGATCTATAATGCCTGGTGTGTTTGGGCTCCTCCAAGCCTACACTGCATGTCACCCCTACATAAAATCATAGAATTCCAGACTCATTTGGGTTGAAGGGACCTCAAAGCTCCTCCAGCCCCAACCCCTGCCACAGGCAGGGACACCTTCCACTAGAGCAGCTTGCTCCAAGCCCCTGTGTCCAACCTGGTCTTGAACACTGCCAGGGATGGGGCAGCCACAGCTTCTCTGGGCACCCTGTGCCAGCGCCTCAGCACCCTCACAGGGAAGAGCTTCTGCCTAAGATCCAACCTAAATCTCCCTTGTTAGTTTAAATCCATCACCCCTTGTCCTATCGCTATATTCCCTGATAAAGAGCCCCTCCCCAGCATCCTTGTAGCCCCCCTTCAGACACTGGGAGCTGCTCTGATGTCTCCACGCAGCTTCTCTTCTCCAGGCTGAACAACCCCAATGTTCTCAGCCTGTCTCCATACGAGAGGTGTTCCAGGCCCTGATCATCCTCGTGGCCTCCTCTGGACTTGCTCCAACAGCTCCATGTCCTTCTGCTGAGGACACATGGAGGATGCTCAAGTTGTGGTTGCAGAGCCCAAAGCCCTGGCAGGGGATGCCGCATTCCTCAAGGATAACGGGTCCGGTACCCAACCCGGGGTCCGGGCTGGCACTGCTGATCCGCATGGCAGGAGCTGCTGGCTCCTGGCTCCTGGCCCGCTGCCTGCGCCCCTGCAGGCCAGCGCCGGCCGCAGGAACCAGCGCTGGAGCCTGTTTCCTTATCGCCCTCCGGCACTCACCCTCCGCGCGGCTCTCCCGCGGCTCCCGGGCCCGGGTCACGCCGGGGCTTGGCAGCGGCGCGGGGGAAGCGCATTGTGGCTGCCCACTGCGGCCCTGCGGGAGGAGAAAGCAAGGATTTCCTGGCCTGGAGCGGGTCCTTCCCGTCCCCTCCCAGCAGCGGAGCGGGGCGGCGCTGAGGGTGGGCTGCTCCCGACGGGCTCTGCACTGGGAGCCAGCGGCTGCCCTGGTACAGAGCTGCTGTGAACGTGCAGGCAAGGAGGAGGCAAGGAGAGAGCCGGGGCTCTCTGACTGACACCGTCCCCCTCCGACAAAATTCCCCCCTCCCCAGCTCTGTCCTACCCACAAGCAGAATCCCTGCTAGGGTAGAGCACAGAGCTCTGTCCCCGTGTCCTCCTGTCCTTCCACACCCCCAGTGCTTGTGTCTCTCACCTGTAACGTGCCACAGGGATGGGGATGGTGCAGGGGGGCCTCGTGCCATTGCGCTTTAGGAAGAACAATTCACCCGTTGCCAACCTGAGCCCAGCAACCATAGCACATCAGTGCTGTGGGATTTGTGTCCAGTGAGCCATAAGCTGCAGCTCCCTGCTCAGAGCCAGGCAGCAGCAAACAGCCCAGGATGTCTCCCAAGGCTAAACACATGCAGAAACCTGGAAAATCATAGGATCACAGGCTGGTTTGGGTTGGAAGGGACCTTCAAAGCTCATCGAGTCCAACCGCTTGAGGTGAGGAGAGACATCTTCAACTAGATCAGGTTGCTCAGAACCACATTCAAAATGGGCTATAAGAGCCCCAGTGCATGGGCACAGCCACGGCCACAGTTTTCTCTCTGCAAATGCCATGTCTCCTTCCTGTAAATGAAGCTGGTCTGAGGTGAAGGCAGCTCCTGGCACCCACCTCTCAGTGGCCTCCTGCAGGCACCGCTTTTGCTTTCGCTGCAAATCGTCACCCTGGTTGATGCTGCAGTTTCTGCTGTGTTGCAGCGACATGGGGACCTGCACGGTGACTACACCTGCAGATGGGGTTTTGGGGACAAAGGGCCAATTTCCTGCTATTTTTCCATGACCCAAAGTTCCCAGCCCTGGGATGCCCCCAGCACTCTCCAGGCATGTCACCCCTCTCCAGGCATGGACCATCCCCAGCATTTGCCATCCTCCTCATGGATGGACCGGGGTTGGCACCATCCTGCCCCAGTGAAGGCTTTGCCATGGCCATGCAGGGATGCTCCCCTGCTGACCCTGCCCAGCGCCCCGCTCCCAGCTAAGCCCTTGGCTCCAGCTCTCTCCCAGCAGAGGCCTGGTTTCTGTCCTGCCGTCTGCTTGTCCTTTCACTGCAAACAGTCCCCGTTTGTTTGGCTCTTGCTGCCGGCTGGAGCTGGGGCCGCGTGCCTGGCCTGCGGGTGCACAACGGCTCCTTGTTCACGGCCCCTCTCCTGCTCACCCCTTGCCTGCTTTAGCAATTATCCCAATTAGCCGTGGCCTCTCCTTGCTCCCCGGCTGCTCTGCGCACCCGCATCCCTCCTGCTCTGTGCTGGTGGGCACCGCCAGGCCAGTGGGACGTGGGCACAGGGGTGATGGGTGACGGCTTCCCAGGTTATGCAAAACAAGTGTTTGGGCTCCACGCTGGATCCCAGGGCTCTCCTCAAACCTCCCTGAGGCTAGAGCAGGATGAGGAGGCTGTGCCTGAACTGCTGGTCAGCTCCAGAGGTGCCAGCCCTGTGCCACTGGCATCTGCCACTGCTCTTTCAGATCACCCTGCTGGGTGCTGCCCGTGCTGCCCCAGCCACAAAGGGTGCCCTCCCTCCTACTCCCTCCCAGGGAGCATGGGTGCCCCCAGCCGGCTTCCTGCAAGCCATGGCCCACGTGCGACCACAGCCACCGCGCTCCCACAGCCCCCAGCTCGTGTGGTTGAAGTTTCCATCCACTGACGTGGGCTGGGGCTGATGTGCAGCCCTGCGGAGGGGCTTCCGCAGCGCTCCCCAGCAGGGACGTGTTGTGGGGAGACCTTCCCCAGTGCCCTCCTGAGCCCCTGGGGAGCTGCTGGGTCCTGGAGCATTCCCGACAGCAGAGCCCAGCAGGAGGAATGAAGTCATTTGTTCCTGCACCCTGGCAGTGGCTTCTGCATCCCCCCAGACCTGAAATCCAGGGCAGGTAGAGCCCCATATCCTCTCCCTATACCATGGCCCTGAGCCGTGGGCAGCCTCAGCATGGTCACTGCAGCATAGTGTCAGCATGGGCAGACAGCTCCTGCCTGCTCTCTGCCATCAGCCCCGCACCGCAGCACGGAGGGGACGCAGCACCCCAGCAGGGTCACACCAGGCAGGGCACTGGGGCTGCCACTCCCGGGGTGGCCCCGAGCACCCATCTCTTGCTGACAGCAGCCCCGGGCTCCCGGGGTTTGATCTTTCCCACTGGAGCCACCTGTCTGCTCCAATCTGTGTCTGTGGTGCTGCCAAGGGACGCGAGCACCAGGCTCACGCAGCCTGGCACGCAGCAGCCCCGGGCAGGCAGCCCCTGTGCTGGTGAGGAGCTTCTGCTGGCCCCAGCACGCGGGTGTGGGTCAGGGTCCTGCAGAAAGCTAGGGCCTGGGTGAGCTCTGGAAAGTGGGGGCTCCCCAGAGACCCCTTCTCCTTTGCTGAGGGGACAGCTTACATTGAGCTTGCTCCCAAAACCGCACCTTCTTCCCCATCCATAGGTCCACAGCGGCTCCAGAGCATCCTGGAGGACTGCAAAGGTGCTCTGCACCCTACACAGCTTCCTGTCACTCCCAAACCCGCATGTGGCTCCAACAGACAGGGACGGGGCTCACAACTACAAATCTCTCTGGTTACCCCTGTCCTGCCCTTGTGACAAAGCACAGTCCCCAGTGGCATCCCAACAGCATTCCCAGCAGTCTGGGCATGCCGCATACCCTTCCAGGCTGGAATGCCTGTTTCCATTCCATGGAAAGACATCACCCCATGCTACACCATGGATGGAGCTAGCTCCAGTGTGACCACTTGCTTCCCCACAGCCTGCATGGAAGCACTGGGATGCAGCAACCCCTTGATCCCTTTTGGTGCTCCTCCAGTCACTGGGCAGGGTGTCCTCTATGGAGGAAAAGGACGGTCCACGAGTTCCTTGTGTAGCATCCCAGGACAGCTCCTAGTGCTAAATATATTGGACAGGCCCTTGACTGACCAGGAGTCAGGGAGAGGAAAGGGGAAATGAAAGCCCCAAGGCCAGATGGTGCTGCCAGCCCCAGGAAACCTCCCCAGCAGCCTGTGCAGCACCCTGAGAGATGCAGCCCCCTCCCATGGACCCTCTGCCCAGGGCTCTGCAGGGCTCCCAGTTTCCACCCAAAATGATGCCAGGCAGTTCAGCAGCTCCTGTGCTTCCCTGTGCCTCCCCCTTGCAGCCGCCCATCCCCACGGCCACAGGCTGCTGCTCTTCCCCCAGCTGAAGCTCTCCCCACCACATGCACAGAGCAGGAGATGTCTCAGGTCCTCGTGCTCAAACCACACCAAAGGAGCCCCAACAAGTGCGGAAGCTGCTGAGCTGCAGGAAACTGATGCTGAGCTGGAGCAGGAGCTCCGCTGGGGGCAGCTCCCAGCCATCACCCACACAGCTCCCTGAAGGGTTACAGACATGAAGGGAAACCAAAACCCCGGGGTCAGCACTCAAATGCATAGAATCATGGAGTGGTTTCAGTTGGAAGTGATCTCAAAACTCCTCCAGCTCCAACCCCTGCCACGGGCAGGGACACCTTCCACTAGAGCAGCTTGCTCCAAGCCCCTGTGTCCAACCTGCCCTTGAACACTGCCAGGGATGGGGCAGCCACAGCTTCTCTGGGCACCCTGTGCCAGCGCCTCAGCACCCTCACAGGGAAGAGCTTCTGCCTCAGAGCTCATCTCAGTCTCCCCTCTGGCAGGTTAAAGCCATTCCCCCTGGCCTGTCCCTACAGGCCCTTGTCCCAAGCCCCTCTCCAGCTTTCCTGCAGCCCCTTCAGGCACTGGAGCTGCTCTCAGGTCTCCCCTTCAGGAGCCTTCTCCAGGCTGCCCCAGCCCAGCTCTCTCAGCCTGGCTCCAGAGCAGAGGTGCTCCAGCCCTCGCAGCATCTCCAAGGCCTCCTCTGCGCTCTCTCCAACAGCTCCATGTCCCTCTTGTGCTGTTGCCCGAGCTGGATCAGGACTGCAGGGGGGTCTCACAACTCTTCTGGTTAACTTCAAATAACATACCTAGGTACACCGCCACAGTGCTCCAGATAGGAGCATTGGTTGCCCAAGCTGAGCGGAAGGGTTGGCAGGAGACCCATGGAGACTTGCAGACTGCTCAGAGCAGGGATGGGAGAGCACACTGTGCCCCTAGGTCCTGCTGGGAGCCATGGCACAGCCGCTGTGGGACAGCAGGATCCCACCACCCGTGATGAGGCCGTGCTCAGCGGCCTGAAAAAGCTGAAATTCTGCTGCAAAACCAAACCTGTGCTTCCGAGCTGCTGCCGTAGCCAAGTCAGCACCCAGGGGCAGAGCAGCAGCTTGGGCACCTCTGCCCCCTGTCCTGTGCTGGCCGGTGTCTCAAAGGGCCATGCAGCCAATGCGCCTCCTCCTCCTCCCTGACCCAGTTTGTGCCTTGCTGCTGCATCCAGGCCAGAGCAGCGCCAGGTTCCAAGCGCCGGCAGTGCCCGGCTCTGACAGGGAACCAGCAAAGAACACGCTAAATGTCATCACGATTACGTCTGCCCCAGCCCAGCCAGCACCAGGGCTGCTCCTCCAGCCCTGCGCCCGCCCAGCCTGGAGGAGAAGGGCTGTGAAGAGAGGCCATGTGCCAGCTCCGGTGCATGCTCTGGTTTCTACTGAGCCTCACATCCCTCGGGCTCTGTCAGACCCAGCGTCAGCTGGGTGGGAAGGGGGAAGGTTTCTGCAGAGCTGCCATTTCGATATCTGGGCCACCCTGTCCCGTTTTGCTTGGGCACAAGGTGTTCTCTAAAGGACATGGGTGTTCCTTGCACCTTCGCACCCCCAAAATGTGGCTCTGGATCTTTGTGGTCGCCCTCTGCCTGAGGCAGCAGCCACCAGGGAGCTCCAGCTCTCCCCATCAACCCCTGGTAGTATGGCAGGACCAGGAGGGAGTTTCTGGTGGGACTGGTGTTGTGGGATCAGCAGCAAGATGTGAAACCCTCCTTGCCTTGGGAGTCCCTGGGGCTGTGCATACATGGGGCAGGGGGAGAGGCAGCTCCTAGGTGAAG